TGTCTTTTATGACGGTTGTTAAAGAAAAGGATTGCTAACATACTTTTGTATACTTTTGTGTATATTTGAAGTGGTGGAAAAAGTTAATAATTCAGATGAAAGTATCAATGGCAAGATTAACAAACAAGAAAAACAGGATATTTATGAAAATAATTTGTTATTGTGTAAAGATGCTTATGAAAGAGATTACATCACACTTGTGGCCATGGGTTTCCTGTGTGCAGGAGGCAGACACTTTCTTGACAGGGATTGTTGGAATAGATATGCATCTGTGCACAGGAGGTCAAAAAACTTTAATATAAACACAATAAAAAACAAACTGTATTATCATTATGACTACTTTCTCAGTCTATTATGTTCAATTACATTCTAAGAATACTTTAAGGCTAATTTTTTCACAATATAATGTAAAAATGTGGTGAAGATCAAAACAGCATGTTTGTATAAGGGATGTCAAAAGGATCAAGTACTAAAACAAGACAAACAAGAGATAATTGGTGTAAGTGTCGATACTAAACGAATCACATTGACAGGACAACGTTAGACATTTCTTTATAAATTATTGATAAATGTAAACTATAACAGAAGATGTTATAAATCTTATGGCCCCTTAAAAAATGTTTTAGTTAAACATTTAGATGTATTGTCCCAAAACATATATAAGATAAATAATTGCTGTGGTATTGAAATTATTAAATGTATTCAATCAAAATACAGTTTGAAATGTAGTATTGTGCACAACATAGTTTATAATGCTCTTTTTTATTTTTACTACTAAAAAAACATAAGCATATCTCATACAACACTAAAATCTTTAAGGTTTTAATGTTTCATTTGTTGTTGCAATATTGTACCTAATTTGCATGATCAACTACCACAGTGTTAAAGTAATATAATATCACAGAAAGAAAAAGAAAATTCAGAATACAGTCACTCAAAGGTTTTCTGCATAGTATTCCCAGTACTTGTATCCTGTTACGTCCTAACTCTGTTGAAAGCCAAAATAGCCGTAATATCATTGTATAACAATGCTGTAAAGTCTATTCCTCTCCTCACACTGTGTTGCTGTGGATTATTCGATATTTCTCTGCCGTGTCTCTCTCCGCTTTGGCTCGGTGTGGACTAAAGCCAGCCATGACACAGAGCGGAGAGCAGCGTGTATGTGATTGTGGTACATTCTTGGTTTGGTGAATGTAACCACGGAGCAGCCACACTCAGCTTCTAGTCCACAGCACTCCATCGAATTCGCCCACTCTTATTGTCTGCACACTTTCCTCAAGAATGTGCATTTCTATGGTCATCGGCAAGCCAAACCTAATTACCAATCGCATTGTCACCTTTTGTGATCATTGTATTCGTCAATGTTCTGCGTCTGTGTAGAAAAACTCTTGTTTTATTTTTGTAAAAAAAAAAACACCACTGGACTCTTTATTGCCTAATTGCCTTTTTACAACCCCCGAAAAAGAAGCCATGATGGAGGCAATTTGCTTGGTTCACTTGGAGAATATTTCCCTCATTACAGTGGAACATAGGGCTTGCTGATGCCGCAAGAGGAAGTGGCTTTGGCAGGCCACGTCAAACTGGCATTTAAGTGCAGGATTCAAGCCGGTCTGATGTGGATGGGATCAACTTGTTAAGTCAAATGAAAGGTCAAAATATTTTCCACCACGATGTGCAAACTCCCGATTTAAATCCTGTCCAAATAACTAAAGTGCCAAGCTGTATAGCTCACATTCATGCACAAGCCATGATGAGGCAAAAAAGTGAAATATGTTTTGATACATTTATGGAAGCCTGAAGAGTTTTGTTTTATTTTGTTGAATTTGCTTTTAGTCATTGTGAAAGTTTAATATAATTGAAGCAATTAGGATATAACTTATTGACATGAACCTAATACGCACTTTGTAATACCTGTTGATGGTTTTGTATGTGCCCCAAAGCCCCAACTGAAAGATCTCAGCTCCTCTGGACTCACCACCTGCAGGAGGATCAGTGAGGGGCTGGTGCTCTGTGTACCGGGTGCAGCTCTGACTGCCACCCCCCTGATCCAGAAATGGATTAAGGGGAAGAAAATGGATGGATGGATGGGTTTTGTATGTGTTCAGAATAAACATTTATGACGGTTGATGGACCCAATGGACCAATGGCTCCTTTGTGTTTGTGATTATTGCATGAGATGATTTCTGTTGTGATTTAGGGAGATTCAATAATAAATGAGTAACAGTAAAAAAAAACAATACAGGATCCATATGCAATGTAAATGCCACTTTGACTAAGATAATAATAGATATCTCTGTAAATGTTACTTTGCAAATTGTGTCCTCTTTATGAGTAAAAAATGCATTCACACTGACTCTGCTCATAATGGCAAATATAACACACAGGCCGCACAAAATACCCCAATGATATCTACACTGACTGACATCTCTTCTTGTAAATCAACAGTAAGAGAGTTGGTTTGTTTTATATGCAGCCTTGACCCTTTACACGTCGTGAAGTGTCTAAGTGGTCCAGTTGAAACATAAGTGCGTTTGGACATGTGAAAATCTTTAGGTCTGCGGTGCCAGCTGAGAGGAGAGCTCTTCCCGTGGAGTTTCTGTAACCTTGGCGCTCAGATCTGCTTTCAAACTCCCTAACACCTTTTGACACCGCTCACCCGCCTGCACGCTGTTACAGAAATGCCTTTTGGTCCGAAGAATAGGGGCGAAACAGAGGACAGGACGCCGGGGACACCATGCACCCTCCGTGTATATTTTAGAGACAGCGGGAAGATTCAATACAGAGCGTTTTAAGAGAGCTCCAAGCGTCACAAAGGAAATGAAGAAGTGACTAAAACATCAGAGTTGACTCATTGACCTGAACCTAAACCGGTTCTTTCAACTGTTCACTATGTGTCTAGAGTCCTATTGAACTGCTGTTTGTACCTAATTGAATTTGTCACACACTCTGTAAGTAGAATAAAGGTGACTATATTTAAATGTTGGCATCTTCTCCTCTCCACATCTGGGTTCAATTCAAATCAATTCAATTATTTTTTGTCAAGCCATAAATCACAAGTCGTCTCGGCGGAAAAAACAAAGTTGTCCATTCACCAACAACAAATCAGAGAATCAAACAGTTACGAACACATGCATGCAAGAATAACAAAGACATAGGAGCCATTGTTCCATATAGGGAGTGGGAAAACCAATCAATGGACTGACACATGTTGTCGCTGATCATGTTTTTAAGTTCACTTTGCTTCAGGAAGATGTTATGTTTCACCATTTTTTTTAACTGTCACTTTAGATCTTTTGTCCGAAACTGCTGTTACACTGCTGAACTCATGTAGCGTGTTGGTGAGATGGACTTTATAGTGTGTGTTTGAGCTTGTATTGTTGGATTGTGCTAATGTGTCTGTATGGGCTCCACTTCATATCCCATATGTTATTGTTCTGTGTGTGTGTGTGTGTGTGTGTGTGTGTGTGTGTGTGTGTGTGTGTTTTTTTATGCCCTATGCTGTTCGAATGAATTGCCCCTAGTGGGATAAATAAAGTAGTCTAAATCTAAATCTGATTGTCCATAAATGTCAATAAATGTCCTTAAATGTACATATATGTCCCGGGTTCACAATCACGATGACTTGAAAACAGCACTTTTGCAACACTTCACTAACGCCACAACTCAGTCTAAAGTATAGCCTTTTTGTGCATTGTAGTATTATTATGTATCATTATTCCAACAGGTTTTTGTGTCTGTGATATTCATTGCAGAACTATTCCTCACTGACAATTCTTCAAAGTCTTCCAAACGTTTGATGTGACGTGGGCATTCCTTTTGCAATGGTTGTGAATGGCATGACAGGGGCTATAAACGATTGGTTTGATTGTGAAGTGTTAACTTGTTTAAGGAGTCAATCAGTTACTAAGCCTGACTAATTGGTGTTATTGTACAAGTAGAGATAATAGATCAGATAAGTGCGGTGTTAACCAATTAGTACAGCCTGATCTGATATTGATATGATAGTGGCGCACCAGTGAATCCCAGAAGCGCAGTTGTTGTAAATACTGGCGCAGAATGACGCCTTTGTTCTGAGTCCATTATTTAAACATTAAAAACACTAAGCCGCAGTGATCCCAGCTTCCTGCACTACAAGCAATGGACTATGAAATATCTGCAGGACAATTGGTTAAGTGGAGTTAACTGTTCGCCTCTTTTATTTCCCCTCCTCTCCTTCCCCTCTCTCCCCGCGAGGTATATCTTCCTTTTTTGATCCCGCCGAGTCTGGCGCCTCGCACAACACAACTCGTCTGGCTTATTAAATGCTCTGACCTGGAGAGAGGAGAAACGCCTGTTGCTTCTCAACTGGGGCCATTGTGAGCGAGACGAGCGAATGACAGCTCCTAAATTGCTGTAATGTTGTGTGACCAACGCTCAGGCCTAATCAATTTCTGTCGCTTTTGTTTGGTTTTAGAATAGTTTTACCATTGGGTTTAATGCCGCAGGACATCCTCTAAACAACGTTTGTAAATATGAAATAGAGGTGGTGTTGAAAGGTCGCGCTCCTCTGAAGTGCAATAGAAGTCGTCTCGCTTTGATACTGTCAGTGTGTGTCTTTAGTTCCCATACAGTAGAGAAGGACACTGCTCCTAATGGATGGAAATGGCCAGGAGTCCTCCCCACTGCTTAATTGCGCTAAAATTGGTCTAAGCCACTTTTGTGAGTGCCTTCAATGGATACGCACCGCATGGGGTCTGTATGATTAACTTCTTCTTCCTTTCAAAGTCCTCTTGATGTTCCTTTTACGAGGCAGCTGGCCAATCAGCGTGTAGGGCTTCAACGTCATGATGTTGGTGCGTGCAGCTCATTGGCGCCTTTGGAAGAGTAAAACAGCCCCTGCCCTTTTATAGACGACCCCCGTCCGGTCAGGGCTATTGACAATACTGACAAGGTTGAATATCGGAGTCAGACAAACTTTTCTGCTCGGCCAACACGGACGGACGTGGCCAGCTCCTCTCGACATGAGTAACGCACCGGGATCTCCGTCACGGGACGGGAAAGAGGACGTAAACAACGAGGAACCCAAAGACATGAGCGCGGAGAAAGGATACAAGCCTCAGCGGAGCAGCCTGCCGTTCAGCGTTGAGTCGCTCATCGCGAAGACCACCACCTGCCGAAGCTCGTACTCTTCCACAGACCTGGCTCTCAAGCCCGGGACACAGGTGCCCCAGATCCCCCAAAGGACTTTTTACACAGAGCGCTCCTCTGCAGACAGCGCCCACTCTTCGTCCTCTCTCTCTCCGACTGAGGACAGCGCGCAGAGCGACAAAGACCAGAGCACTTGGTACCAGGCGGCCTCCTTCTCCTCTCCACCGAGTAAGTTTCACTTTAATAGCCCAGATACACAGTCTCTAATGATATATATTTACAAATGCATACAACATATTTTAGTACACTACAAACATAGTCTGTTTTACACACTTAACACTCGCTTAAGTTGGCTATGTGTGAAGTGCTTATTTATAAACTGTTATTCTATGGTTTGTTATTTTTATTTTCACGTTGTCGTTTATGTTGTATGTGTTATGGCTATAGGCTATACACATACATTGTAAAAACTATGGCACTTGTTGAAAAAAATAGCAGACATCATGTATGTGTGTTAGTTTATCTTGAAATGACAAATCACAGTTTACGTCTGATTCACAAAAATAAGTCTAACATGTTCTGTGTTGCTGTGTTGCAGGAAGCTCGAGTCCCGCGCAGTGCACTTTGCGCAAGCACAAGAACAACCGCAAACCTCGCACACCGTTCACTACCTCACAGCTCCTGGCGCTGGAGCGCAAGTTTCGTCAGAAACAATATCTGTCTATAGCGGAGCGGGCCGAGTTCTCCAACTCCCTGAACCTGACGGAAACTCAGGTCAAGATCTGGTTCCAGAACCGCAGGGCCAAAGCCAAGAGGCTACAAGAGGCCGAGCTGGAGAAGTTCAAGTTGGCCTCCAAACCCGTGCTCCCTGCTTTTGCTTTACCTTTTCCCATTGGAGCGCACGTCGGCTCCCCGGCCTGGAGCCCCTCCAACGGCTTCCCACGGCCCAGCGTGCCGGTCCCGGGACTGTTCAGCGGGCCCGTGGCCTACGGGATGTATTACCTGTCTTAGCATTCCCTCTGCATGTGACAAACACAAACAAAGACAATGCATTAGTTACTTATAATTGTAACTAGACATTAGAGGTCCGAGGACTTCTTTTTTATACATGCTGATCCGTGTTTAAACTTTAATCAGGTTAAAACCACACGCCTTAAAGGTTTTCACTGTGGAAAACTCTGCGCAATAATGGACAGGGAAGCTTTAAGCAACAAAGTACTTAAAGGTGGAGTGCCTTAAGACCAATGTATCACTTGAGCTCCTTTGCTGTGTCCCAGTCACTGTTCAGTGCCTGTTTATGGGAGAATATTCTTACACGAGACGCTCTGTTAGGAGCACCTTACTGTATGAAAATGTACATAGGCCACACGTGGACTATGGAAGAAGCCTGTGCCTCTGTGATGCGCACAGTGGTATTTATTGAATCTGTTTGTATCTGTACTGTGTACATCATTTATATGTAAAGCTTTGTAATTTGTAAATAATAATAATAATAATTTTAGTAAATAAACATTATACAATATTCCAAGGACTCCTTCTTATTCTTTGTTTAATAAGTGTGTGTTTGTCGCGAACAGCCATATTCCCACACTAGGCCGAAGTGCTTTTTTATATTTCCGTCTATTTTATTTATAAACGATTAATACGGAATTATAGGGAATTGAAATATAAATTGTATTTAATCTTTTTTTCCAAGTGCCCTAGAGATTTTTATGGAAACATTGTTGTTCATGGTTTAAGGTGACTGCATGTGCAAAAATCTACTTTTATCCCATTCCATTTGTTTTAAGTCATAACGTCATAAAATATTGTATTCTGCCGCTCCACTCATCTATTTAGTGTTTTATGTTGTGCAAAAATAATAGCAATAAGACGACTATTCATAAAGATGAACCTCCGCACTCTGGTAAATTGTGACGTTTTGAATATATCTATTAGAGATATTTAAACGTTTTTAATAATTCAATGTACATTTTCCACCTTTTGGGAACAAGGGAGAAAACCAGCATTGGCAAAAGTTAAAAGATTAGTGTAATAAAAAGCACCAGCATCAGCTAAGAGAAAATAGAATATTGAAATTCTAATTTTGAATTGTTATTATAAAGGCGCAGAACCCTAGAACACACTTATAACGCAGATATTAGGACTTGAAAGGACGAAACGCTTTTGTTCTGCCTGAGACTGATCAGTTTATTTTATTTGTGCAAAAAATTCACCAGTTGCCTCAATGCTTCTTGGACAAAATGCGTTGAATATGTTGCATGTCCAAATGTGTGTGTCACTTTGCATATGCATTTATATATATTTAAATTTAAACACGAATCGAATAGTGTGTGCGTTTTGTTTATGCAAATATATAATTTTACAAAGAAAAGAAGAAAATTATGTGTCCGAACCAATGGAACAAAGTGTATTAAATAGAAAAGCGCTCATGAATACACTATAACTATTAGCTGTAATTGTTGTTTGGTTGTAAGAGCAGACTATTGGGTTTACAGGAAGTTTGTAGCCAAGAAAATAAAAGTATGCTATCAAACAGATTGTTTATTGCTGTGTTGATTGCGAGCTAGCTAGATCGAAATGTGTCAATAGCTGTATTTGGTCCCCTTTGAAAAGACAATCAGAGAAGCTTTTCAAACTACATCAAAAATGCTAAAATAAAAAGTCAGGACTTACTTGATGAGACCAGTATCCATCGCTTTCCAAATGTCCACAACATAGCCTGGTCCACATGCCACATCCCGCCTCATGGTGTCAGTGCCGACCACAGTCCTGACCCTGCGCACGCTCGTAGTTGCTGCATCTGTCCTATAGGGGGCGCTACTGCCCTCAGCTCATTCACCTCTAAGACGAGGCACTTCCGCTCTCCCCGCTGTCAGACGTCCTGAGGTACGTGCGAATGAATGCGAGTGTTTTGTGATTATAAACTGTTAAAAAACAATGCGTAGCTTTAGATCCAGCCCTGATCTTGACATAAACACTGACGCTGGTGTATTTCTGTGTTCTATTCTCTGCACAAAGACCCGACCTTTAGATAAATCTTCTCTGACCTTGGCTAGCAGCTACTAGCACGCTTAGCCTAATATTGTCGATTTGAAAATGTTTAAAAGGGTCAGCGTATTCTTTCCTGTCCTTATTGCCCCTGTTATTTCTTCTTTCAACTTTACTGCTGATTCTTGCAGGCATTTCAGGGGATGCGTCATTGCGTTGTACCATTTTGGACCCGCTATGAAACTCTATAAAGTTGACTCGGGCTATAATTTAGAACCAACATTTAGCTTCGGCGATAATACATCTTATTTGTCATCTTAATTGTTTTCATACAATGTGTTTGCTGCAGTAGAACTTCGATGTACTTTTTTTAACTTCCACAATCACCAATCCACTGAGTTGTATCCAACCCGTGCTCTGAAACATGATAGACAATACATGATCACAGTTTGTCAACTAGAAATATAACTATATATTTCATTTCATTTCATTTATTGATTCATTTTGAGCAGATCACATGAAATAATAACAAATGTTGAACAGCTGTACATAAGTCCAGGAATTAGAAAAGATTTGGCTCGAAAAGTAGTGGGAAGAAAACTTATTGAATCCCACCCCTATTGTCCATTGCTACGTTACAATATTTAACTTAACTTCCACTTCATTTCGATAAGAAGAAAAGAGAAAAAAACACATAAGGAGCGTATTCTCAATGCAACAAAATTCATATTATTAAAATAAATAAATGGTTACAATTATATAAACCCATACTCCACATGACATTATTCTGTTTCTATTATTTTCTGATATTTTTTCATGTTTTTAACATGTTTATTTATGTTGCAGTCACAATGGCAAGCCGCAGGGTAGCACTCAAAGCCATCGACTGGTTGGCATTTGCAGAGCGAGTGCCACCGAACCAGAGAGGCATGTTTAACGCCCTGAAGACACGAAGCGATGCCATTGCTGCTAAGTAAGTTTATTGTTTAACATGGTCTTCATCAGAGCCAAGCCAATCATTCAAGGTACTCTGTAATTTCTACAGTTGCTCCAACTGAAATGGCAAATGTGACCTTTTTTTAGAATATTTACCTCCATGTTTTTGAATTATTTTTATAGACTTAGAATTTTACCTATAAATGTACTCAAGAGCTGGAGGATTATCCATGTTGATGCGTAATCTTTAAATACATTGTTAGATAAGGGACAAAAAGGATGTGAGAATCACGTTTTTGTTACCCAGGTGCTACTAATATCTTTGCTGTCACCGTGCCGAAGAAAAAAGTGCTAAAAAAAATGCTTAGATCTAGAAACCGGTCATAACAGCAAACGTGTCAACATCGCAAACCACATGCACCGAAAGGCGTTAAACAATAGGAGGCACATTGCTGTAGTTTGTACACATTCACAATATGTAACTGTCTTCACACCGACATTAACTTTCTTCACACTTAATAATGAGAACGAGGCAGATTCTGCAACACTGGTCTCAGGATGTGCTGACCTACGCCGAGCGCAGTACAATGTCACGAGTTTAAACAACACTTATGGGGCTTTCAGACCGGCAACGCTGAAGCCCCGCTCACCAGACGCATTCTCTAGTTTTCAGACGCAGAGGACTTCACACCAGAATGTCCTGACGCGAGCCGGAAGTACCGGAAGTAGCCGGCCGGCTCTAATGCTAACAGAGCTATGCTAGTGGCTTCTTGTGTACAGATCTTCTCCAATATGCAGCTTTGCAGCGTGTCTTTGCTCACAGACTTTCCACGGGTTTTATTTAACAGTAGTATGTGTTCACGGAGGTGCGCCATACGTTTTTTCATATTATTAAACGGAATTTCCGCATTGGCGAACACACTCAAAGCAGTTGCATAAGGTCACGGGAGCATGTCAACGCATATATTCACAAGCACACAGTCCCCCATTGTCAACCCTGGTTTGAGTTCTGGTGAAGCCTGGTGTGGGTCCTGTTTTGGCTGTTTATGAGTATTTTCAGTCTGCTCACTCAGTCCGCTAATGTCCCCGTGACCACTTTGCGGTTCTCTATCCTGTCCAAGGAAAGGATGAGCAGAATCCATCTCCTGTGGGCGTTGATTTTTCGCTCTTGCTCCTCCCCTTTGACTTTCCCGCCAAGTCCGTGCGTGTCTACTGAACAGTCCGTTTGTGCGTGCCGAGAGGTCCGTGCGTTGCGACGGTCGAACGCGCGTCACCATAGACTTTGCATTGAAACCCGACGCAACGCATGATTCGGTCTGAAAGCACCATTACTCTGGGGACGAGCCTCAAATATGCTAAACGCACAGAATCCCCACAAAACAATCACCAGAATACGTTTATCCACAGCGTGAGTTTTCTTACCTGCTGATGGGAATGCGGCGCCGTGGTGAAAGCTTAAAATAATTGCCGCGGCTGTTTATGTAAGCTCATGTCCAAGTCAATGTCCTGGCTTCTCTGAGTATCGTGATTTTTAAGCTCCCACAGACGTCCCATGCATCTCTTCTCTTCACTCAGCGTTTGTAAAACCCCAGAGCTTCTGTGCCGTGAACCACTGTCAAAAAACATGTTATCCTTTGCAGCACTTGTACTACCGAGGGACTGCAATAGATGAATATCAAGCCATTACATCTATAATTCTTAGTTTATTTTGAAGCTGTGTTAGAGGTACACTGTCGTTTTTGGGATCATATGTGAACAGATTAACTTGCTCTGCTCTTAATTCATAGGAGTTGCTCCGCTTAAGGTTTCTTAGGTAATACATTATCTTTTTATATTGCAAATTGTCTCAGTGTAAAAGCTGAAACTAATTGATTGAATAAGCTGATAAATGGATCAAATTAATGCAAACAAGTTTTGAAGTGTCATTAAAAGGATAAAACACATCTTTTATCAATCAATGCTAAATGTATCCAGTGTTTATTTTCATTGTAACAAACCTGTCTTACACTTCGGGCCTCATTTATAGAAGAGTGCATCAAATCGTGCTTCAAACCTGACAGACATGGCAAAGTTGACGACTATAGGGGCAAGCAAAGTCACTTGCATCTTTTTGGACGCTTTAAAGATCAAAACAAAGCTCAGACTCTCGCCTGCGGGCATAGAGTTGGTGACCCCTGCATTACTGTATCCATCTCATATGGCCTGCAGTGTTTCTCTGTCTTGTGTCTTTTGTATGGACCTTTAGTATGGAATAAAGATTATTATTATTATTAATGCAGCCTGTGCACTTTGCAGCTGGCACATTGCACTGCTGAATAACGTTCTGCTCAGTCAGTGTCAGGAACAATCTGCACAATGGGCTGTTCAGCCGCACTTTCAGCCTGAGCGGCCTAAACACAATTTGTGTGAACTATATATGGGCCTCTTCTTTCTGTGTGACATCATTGTTCATGATTTTAATCTACTACTTTCATTTCCCCTCCCATAGACTCAATTCTCTCCCGGAAAGTCCTGCTGCTATTGACTGGGATAAGTACAGGAAAGCCGTTGCCTTACCTGGCATGGTTGATGAGTTTGAGAAGAAAGTAAGTAAATGAAGAAAATTGTAGCAATAGCACATTCAAAGGTTTATGTATACATTTAAATTACCTTAAATTCTGCTTGTGTTCCTTAAACATGTAGCCTGTATTGTCTAATACTCTGTCTGTTGGTCAGTTTTCGTCAGTGAGCATCCCTGAACCTGTCGACACACAGACCAGCTCAATCAATGCCCTGGAAGCTGAGGCTGTAAGTCCATGTCTACATTCATTGTAGACATGTATTCTGTTTTCTATTTTTTCTTTATGGGAAAAATGTTTGAAAGCTTTTTGAATTCCTGATCCTAAAATTGTGTTTTTTGTTTTTTTTTTATAGAACCAGGCAGCTGCTGCCTATGTTGAGCAATCTAAGGCTCGCATTGCCAGCTATGAGAAAGATGTGAGGCACAACTGTAACCAGTATTGTATTTTAAATGCAAATTTAATATTGTTTTTAATCATTGTTTTTTGTGTTATAGCTGGATAAATTCAAGAACATGATACCATTTGATCAAATGACCATAGAAGACCTCAATGCCACTTTCCCTGAGACCAAACTGGACAAGGTCAAATACCCATACTGGCCATACAAGCCTATTTCTGAGCTGTAAATCTACTTATCTCTCTAAATAAAAAGTGTATTTTAAAACTGTCTATAACTTGTTTGTCAGTTATTCTGTGAAAGTGCAAGCAACGTTTTCCCACTGGGGGAATGTACGATAACTTTAAAAACCAGCCTGAGATTGACCTAAAGTCAGCATCTTGTCTTCCACCGTGAACTATCTAGGTCTTGGTGTCTGCCTGGCTCGATGACCAGTTTTCCAAGTGTGTGTCAATCAATGTACAATAAGTACACATGCCCAACCTCACAATGTGAAGTCGGTACAAAGGTCTGTTCCCCCTGACGGTGGTCTCTGGTCCTATGATTGGCCTGGAGAGGGTCCCCGTGGTTGGCTGCGCGCACACGGACCTCTAGCGGACACCAGGCGGAGCTTAGCTGATGATTTCCGTTTTATCTTATTTACAGCAACCGACAACAGCAATTGACGGAGTCCATCAGCCCAGGTAAAATAAAATTATTATTAAGCCTGGACATTCGTATGAGACGTGGCGGCTGTGCACCAGAGACGTCCTTAACTTGGATCAGCCATTTTCGCTGTATACAGAAAGATTGCTTGTTAGCCTCAAATGCAATTGTGAATTTGCTCTAGCTGGTATACTCTGGAGGTCACAGTGAAAGGCATTTAACAGCACGGTATTCACGTTACACGCCCACCTACTGGATCAATCTTCTGCATTGTTAAACGCGTAAAAGCCTACAATGTTATCGCAGCCAGTGCTAGTTAGCATTAGCCACTATGGTCCAAAGGCGCCTACGATTACGCTGTCCATCAGACAACTTTACGTTCATTATCACAGTGTCATGTTGTTCAGAGCTCTTACAGATCAACCTTTTAATCTGATGTTTTTATTTAATACCCAGATCCGTTATGCGGTTCTGTTATTTGCATGTTTTGACCATTGGCTTTACGCATCATTTTCCATGTGGCACTGCGTCAAAACACCCTCCACCACCTTGCAAGCACATGTGACAGAAGTGTAATCATGCACCTATACAAAGCGAATAACTAAACTAAACTTGAACTTCTGATAATGTGGGCTGCTGAGGTAAATGAGGCAAAGGTCAGCGAGGTTACATTTCAGCAGAGCGCGAATATTGTACACAACTATTTCGGCTTGAGGAAATATGAGATCCTGGGTGTTTTGAGTTCACCTTGGGCAGTGCCTGGGTCGTTTAGGACTTGCATTACTTTCACTGTAGTGTCAGTGTGTCCTGTGCGTCTGGGCCTTCCCTGTCACTGCACAGTCAACACATGCTTCATTGTTTTATATACAGGACAATAGGAGGAGGATTGTTGTTACATGAATGGAGCCACAGCCTGGACACTAGTGAGCCTTAAGGTTCACTTGTGTCACTGTCATATGAAGAATTGTAGCATTGAATATCCTAATACTTCAAATCCTGCTGCAAAAAGTACTATAATAATATATAAATATAATGGTACTATAATTATTGTTGCAAGAAAGGATTCTATAACAAATTATGCTCAAGATTTCTATTACACACAAGGGTTGTTTAGTTTGTTTTTTGATCAGTTTTTGGTAATATCCTCAAACACATTCAATGTTATAACCCACGAAAGTCAAGATTTTGGGTAATTTATTTCTTAACCCTTCTCACAATCCAGTGGAGAAACGCATGCCTTTCAACATCCTCAGTGGTTTTGCGAAATGACGATTTGTAAATGTTAGACAAGTTTGCATTCACTTTAGTATTCTGATTTATGTCACCAGTAGTCTTATTTGTACACTTTTTTTGTTTGCCTACTTAAAAAATAAGAGTAGACTTGGATTGTTCACTGATTGCATTTCAGCCATACAGTAGATAAAATCACTCTCTGCCCAGATGAGGATGCTCTGTCCACTGAATTTCTCCATTGTGAGATTATAAAGTACATCAATACAACTGCAAACGATCCAAGCCAGAACCGCATGATTTTTCAGTGCGAATGTCAGTCACATTCTACAGTAGTATCAACTTCGAGGTTATTCGACTAAGCGAGGATCACAAATGCATATATTGCAATGGGTTGTAAGAAAGTCCTTTATGCGTTCCACAGTGGGGAAATGTCAATTTTGATGAATACACTTACACATCAAGGCATGCAGCGAACATTATTTATGCGCAAAGTGGGTTAAGTGTCTTGCCCAAGGACACAAACACAGCAGACATTAGTGGAGTCGGTGGGCTCAAACCCACGACCTTCAGGCTCAAAGGCCAATGCTTTACTTACTGAGCCACTCTCGCAGAAGGAAATTAAATTGATTATTGAGAAATTCTTCAAAGCAAACTTGACCAATTTCCATTTAATCTGTTGTTTTCAAAATGCTTTTTATTTCTGTCATTGGAACTTCATGTTGTTTGCTCAAAGTTGGATTTCATAAAGCTATTCAGTTTTGTCACATTGTTATTGTTTACTAAAGCATGAGTCTATCACGTTGCGTTCAGTGCAGTGCGGTGGAAGCGGTGCACTTTTAATCGAAATGATAAATCAAATACTGTGTCCTGATTCTGATTTGAACCCCAGTTCGTAACACGTCTGAGACACATTCCTCATGGATCTGGAGGTGTTTTTGTTCTTATTATGCCAGTATTAATTAGTCATTTTACAAGCCAGTTCCCTCCCCTCTTCAATGTCTCAGAACTCTCCACAGCGGCTCCTAATTCCACTCTTCTGGCTCAAGTTGACTTGAACTGAAGAAGACTCGTTTGTATGCTCTGAGCGAGCTGTGCCCCTTTTGTTTTGCCCCTTTGCGACTGGGATTGTTTTTAGCCAAAATAGCTGTTTATTTGTCTACGGACACTGAATGAGGTGGTTGTTTACCGTCATTACACAGCCGTGTTTCAGCTGAATCAGTCTGTGGGCATCGATGGTTTGTGGTCCTGCAAATGAACATTCATAACATGACTTTTAAGTTCTAAGCCTTGAGGTTAACTATGTTGAAATAACTGCATACTGCAAAAGATAAGCCTCTTTTTTGCTTTATACAAGTGCTGCCCTCAAGTATTATCAGTGTGTGTTGTAGATTATTGGGGAGGGCCCTGATGAGAGATAGATGGATAAAAAGGGAAAGGCTTACCATCTGGACAGGGTTTATCTGGGCATAGATGCACAGCGTCCCGCCTCGTTCTGGCTTTGCTGCAGGATGGAATAATTGTAGGATACTTGTGAATGATTTATGAAGTCTTGCTATTAGTCTGTAAACTGTAAATGCTAGGACTTAGTGATGTGTTTCCTGTTTTGTTTACAGTGGACGTTGATGGACCAGCCCTATGAAGAAACAGGGTTACAATGGGACAAAGTACCTCCGAACAAGAGGTCCAAGAGGCGCCACCTCCAAAGGCCCCAGAGGTGGTATTCAGTAATATATACATTACTAAACAGTGATCATGCTTTCCACTCCACCTGAACATACACTAAATGAAACAAAAAAACTATTACAAACGACACATTTGAAGGCCTGAATGAGGTCACTATATCCTTTGTCAACTTATTGTGGTTTTTACTGCCAAGAACCAGGCTAACTCCATATAAACTAATCAATAACAGCTGATAACAGACAGGCTCTCCTCTGGCCAGAAAGCACTAAAAGGCTATTACCCTGTTCCTCAAGCTCTGCTCTTTCTTTATGCATTAAGTCAGTGAGTGGTTAGTTTCATGTAATTTAAAACAAGGGATTGCTTGTTTAACACCTATGATCTATAAATTCTACCAGTATTTGTTTTATATTATATTAATACATCGTAAAACCCTTGGTCAAGATACTCTAGTTTTATCTACTAACTGCTGTCTTTGTCTATTGAAAGACATGTTTTACATACTGTGATCTGATTGGTTGAATGAGGGCTAGCTAGGTGAACAATACATGCATTTGACAACTAGTCACAGAACCAAACAGTTTTGAGAGAAAATGACTAGTTACATTTATAGTTACATGAATATCATTACATAGTCAAGGTTTAGTGGTTTCAAAGTGAGTTATTCCAGCTTTGACATCAACCATTCTGTTATTCCATTGTGGTTTTACTGTAAAAGGGCAAATTAACTGAATCTTGATCTTCAATCTTGTAGGCTAGCACATGCATTTCATTGCGTGGTATATTATATTGTATACATGTGAACTGGCTTGTTCATAAGTTTACATTAATTATTTTGTCAATGCCAAAGAAACAACTTATCTGCTCATGGTGCCAGCCCGATCAATGTTTGAAATGTGTCACTGCAATAAAACAATAAAATAAATGTTGACTCATGACTAATTTTTAAGGAAAAATTATAGTCCAGCATTCCATCATCAGTGTACGAGGCCCCAATCATACCATTTTGTGGGCCTCACACTATCATAAAATGTAGCTATATGTTAATAATTAATTGTTCTTATTTTTAGGATGGGTTTAATGACATCCAATCTTTGGTGGAGGAGGAGCTTCAGACGAGCATGGTGAGATAAATACTAGTACTTCTCAAAAAATTGTGATATCAAGAAAAAAAGTACTGCAACAATGCCACAGCGCATATTCATGCAAAAGGAGGCCCAACCAGGCCCAACCAATGTACGTAATGTGGGCATTAAACATGTTCATATAGTGAAAATATATAATGGTTATAATGCAAGTAGCTTGATTTGGTTGTTCTATACCAATTATCAATAATAATTACCAGATAATTCTAAGATAGCGATGTTATTGCCTTGACATGTTTCGACGTATGCTTTGTCTCATATTGTCAAAACATGTCAAGGTAATACCATTGCTATCTTCCAATTATCTGGTATATATAGAAAAGACAAGCTGAACCTTCCTAAACTAAGAAATTACATTTCTCTGTTCCCCATGATCCTTTCAAACACTAAAGATCTCTGTAAAGAGAGCGAATATAGAATAGCAGTTACACAATGATTGATTGAAGACGTCTTGAATTATCTTTTTGAGATGTACTAGTATAACCATCTGTAACAAGGGTTAATGATACATTCTGCCTTGTAATGTTGTAGTTTGCTTTTACCTCTCAGATTGTAGGAATGGTCATTGGGGCCGGGATCGCCATAGTTCTCATTGCCATCCTCATTTTCTTTGTTCTGCGGAGGATGAAACTTCGAAGTCAGTATTCTATTTTGTGGGTTATTGTTAAAACTATCAATTCTGTGCTCGTAACATTTCTGATTCTGACAGATGAAGAAACGGAGGAAACGCCAAAGTATCGCTTTCGTAAAAGGGACAAAGTTATGTTTTATGGTCGAAAGATTATGCGAAAGGTCAGTGCTAAAACAAACTGTTTTGAATTTAGGAAAATTATCAGTTTTTAATCTCGTCAATGTCCCACAGATGTCACAATCTACCTCTTCTCTGGTGGGTACATCCTCCACGTCTCGTCCCCGAATGAAAAAGAAGCAGAAGATGATAAACATTGCCAAAAAGTTTGTACCAAAATATGTACACGTAATTTCCATTATAAACATGTTATAATGTGCTATAATCTATTTGTGCTTGTGCTGTGAAGGATCCTGCGCTTTCAGAAAGAGGTGCCCATCCTTCAGGCGAAGGAGCCCCCTCCCTCAGTGCTGGAGGCGGACCTCACAGAGTTTGATGTGGCCAACTCCCACCTGCCCTCAGAGGTGCTCTACATGCTCAAAAATGTCCGGTAGGTTTGTAGTCTATTACTATGTACAAGCAGGGCTGGGCCTGGTTAGTACCATGATGGGGAATCTCTGGGAACACCAGGTGCCGCAGTGGGGCGGCTACGACTGTAAAGTGTAAAACTGTCTTTGCGTCCTTAAGCAAGACACTTCACCCACATTGCCTAGAATGAGTCTTGTCATGTCTTCAAGTTAAAGACATAATTCATTCATTTACAAGTTTGTTTAAAAATACAACACGTTCCTAAATGCTAAAGCAATAAGTTAAATTTGTTTGTTGTGCTAAAATATAAGGGGAAAAGTGAGACATCTTCTCTTCAAAACATCAGTTTCCTGTCCGCGCAGATTAAGCGCTCTTGTTTTTTAGTACCGATCTTTTTTTCTTCTCGGTAACTTGTACAAGCACGTAATGTAACGGCTCATTTAACTCAATGAGGGCTTTCTTGTGTTGAGCCTTGGCAAACTTTCGTCTTTATAAGTATCATAATGTCACAAGCACAAGTGTTTTATTCTACTGCAAAGTGTTAAGTTTGTGCTATATCTGTTTAGCTAACGCAGTATGTAATTTTGTGTGTACAGCCATCGACAGTGACACATATTTTTCTGGTGGTTTTGGTGATTTTTGTAACTTTGGATGCAATAGACCAGTGTATTCCAAAGTGGGGTCCGCGGCCCACCGGTACTGCACGGGGGCCGAGAGGTCATCAAAAAAAAAGTTTTATATAATTATTGTATGTTAACTTAACAATATTTTGTTTATAATATTCCAATATTTGTGTTCATTATTTGACTTGAATCATCAAATTGTAATCATTTGTGTATTACAAAGTGGGGATGGTCATTTACACATTGTAGCAGAGGCTATGTCTCCCAAATAAAATAACGAGAAGAGCCTATTTTTAACGTTGTCTTCTTGGTTATTATTTCGCGGGGTCGTGCAGACCCGTCAGATTTTACTGACTTTGGGAATGGCTGCAATAGACCATGCACAAGATTCTCTATAAAACAAGAAAAGCAAGCCTTGTCTCCAGAGTTTCTTCCCCGTTCGCTGGCTGTCTAGCTTCACATGGTCACGTGTTGTGAGGACAGCACAAGTCTGGTGTGTGTGTTTGAATGGTTGGTGGTGGTCGGGGGTCGATGGCACATACTGATGGCTTCGCTTCTGTCTGTGCCCCAGGGCAGCTGTGGCTACAGTCACAATTATACAGTATCATAAGGACGCCGGAAACTGGAACAAACGAGTCCATCATCCTTATGAGAAACAAAATGAAATGTATATTTTTTGGTCACAAAAGACATCTTAACCAATGTTTTAATCAGGCAGTTCAAACTTAACGAGATAAAGAGAAGGAAAAACAATTTATGGCCAATACTCTGATTGATTTTGTGTAAACCTCTATGTTCCAGAGTGCTGGGTCACTTTGAAAAGCCACTTTTCCTTGAGCTTTGTAAGCACATGGTGTTCCTGCGCTTCCAACAAGGAGAGCATGTGTTCAGACCAGGCCACCCCGACAGCAGCATCTACGTCGTGCAGGAGGGGAAGCTCGAACTGTGCCTTACTGGACTGGTGCGTTGTGATCTGTGCCTTTTGTCTCTTCGGTCACACAAACCTGTCTCCTCTGGTTTTGCATATATACTTAATAGGTGTTTTGTTGTGTTCCTAAAGGATGGCAAAGAGAATGTGGTGAAGGAGGTGTATGCTGGAGACAGTGTTCATAGCCTTCTCAGCATCTTGGACGTCATCACCGTAGGTTTTCTGTCCCTATAACTATATTGTAAGTGGTCTTGATTGTACATTATATTTGATCTTTTTTGTAATAGGGTCACCAGAAGCCTTATAAGACTGTCTCGGCTCGGGCTGCGGAGGTCTCCACTGTCCTACGTTTACCAGTCGAAGCCTTCCTCTCTATATTTGAGAAGTACCCTGAGAGCCTTGTGCGAGTAGTACAAGTGTGTATTTCTACTATCCCTGTCCATTTTGGTCCCATGATGGTCCCCAATTATTAAAGATGCTATTATGTCCACATAGATTATTATGGTTCGTCTCCAAAGAGTCACTGTCCTTGCCCTGCATAACTACTTAGGGCTGACCAACGAGCTCTTCTGTCATGTAAGTGAACATCTGTATTATGCTCTGCTTTGACATTACCTGTATATATTTTAGTAGTCACAATATTTTCCGCTTTCTGCTAGACCAAACACTATCTTTTTTCTTAATGTAGAGTAGACAATATGCCGAATTGACTTTTTGAGCTTTTAACCACATTATTACATTGTTCTCTCAAAACAGATCTTTTTTTTTAGATATAGTCACGCTAATAAACATGTGACTAGGCTCCTTCTGTCTGAAAACCATTGTTTCAGTCCAGTAAATAGTATGTCTTTGTACCACTACGACATCATGCTCAGAGAGGTAGTCTCAGGTGTTTTTCATTGCACATAGCTGTGTCTGCAGCTGGTGATTATCATTATTTAAAGCTGCACTAACTGACTTTATTTTTTTATTCATTACGAAAATGCTATCCATGTCCATGCAGTGCATTGGAATATACGTCCTTTTGAAGAAAAAGTAGCACAGATTTGTGCTGGCGTGACATTATATTTTTGAAGAGAATGTGTTTCGGGTCGCAGATTGTGACCAATCACAGCGGACCACTAGCCCCCACTTTCGTGAGAAATCTACAGGTCCGTTAGCATAGACAGCTGAGTTACAGTAGCACAACAAGCCGAGGAGCTAACCTGAAGCTTCCTCGTCACCGGTTACTGCTTACACAGTGAAACAGCGCGTTCCTCCGCGCTTCCCGGTTCTATCGTTCTATGGTCACGCCATCCACGTGCAAATCCATATCCATGTATTATCCATATTGGGAGACACTAGCTCCGTCCCAACAGTGAGTGTGTGTGGGGGGCGATAGCTTCGTGGGTGCGGGGAGGGGAGCAGAAAGAGTGAGGCCAGCGAGTCCGCGGCTTCAAAATCCCAAAGTCAGTTAGTGCAGCTTTAAATAATTTTTTTTTTTTTAACATGTTTCACTGGATATTTTCACTGGATATTTTCTTCTAAAGATATTATTTATCATTCTAAAACATCAAATAGATCATTAAATAGTCTTTTTATCTGGTTTATGGTATAAAACAAACAATCTATAGGAAATGCAGCCCTGTCGTCTCCCTCCTCCGTCACCTCATCCGACTCGCACCAGTCCGATCCGCCACGGGAAGCGCTTCAGCAGCTTGACAGTGCCAGAGGAGCACAGGGAAGCTGCTGTCAAAGAGGCTGCAGGTACAATCACTTATGTTGCAACAGTAGTTCATCAAATATGTGCAAATACATCACTGGGAAGTTTGTATTTCTTTTAAAGCAATGGAGCAAGGCAAGGATGGTGCATCAGTGCCAAGTCTTAGCAGAGCAACTTCCATGCCTGTGGATATTGCTGGTAAGTCTTTGCTCAAACATGTCTAAATATGTGTGTGGGATCAGAACGTAGACTATTCTTTGCCTTTTGAAACAAAAAGTGTATTGTTCCAAAATGCAAAACATATGTAAGTCATATAATTATGATTTCTAGCAAGTTAATTGGAATATTGTGCAAAATAAAATACATTTGAAATATAGAAAATAGAATGTTTTTGAGTGCAAAGAATGGTATGTGTGGTATTGTTGTGTTCAGGTATTCAGAAAAGTCTAAAATCCGACTTTGACATGGCGTATGAAAGAGGCCGTATCTCCATTTCTGCTGAGGATGGAAACACTCCTCCACAAACATCAAAGGTTAGTGCCACTGATATAAACAGGATTGTAGTGTTGATGGTCTTCTAATGTCTTTGATGGTATTTCTTTGTACCAGTTTGTTGGACCTCAGGACCAGAGGGAGCGTAAAGTGACAGTGGATGAAGTTCCTTCTGGGATTTACCTGTATCCTGATGAGTCTGGGGTTGATCACATTTTCACTCCAGTTTCTGCCAAATCTAGCGCTGCTCTGTTTGAGGAAGCCCAGAAAGAGATCCTCAAACTCATGAGGATAGAGGTGGGTTCAATCTACATTAACAACATTTACAGATTGTGTCTTTATCTCTAAGTTTAATAGACAATTCTTCTGCATAAAAGATCATATATTCCAAAAACTTTAATACTGCAATCTAAAAATGTTTACAGTTTCTACGGTTTGTTTATTTGTTATAGAACACAATATCCCCTGACCATAGGTTCTTACATTTTTCTATTGTATTATATTTTTTCTCTAGGATCCTTCATTGCTGAATGGAAGAGCAACTCTTCATTATGCTAAAGCTGGTTCTATATTAGCCAGACAAGGGGACCAGGTACAGTCATGTTTAACTATATCTACTGTATACTGTATATGTGTCTACTACAGTGCATGTAATGTAATTTCCTTTCAGGATGTGAGTCTGCACTTTGTCCTCTCCGGGTGCCTGCATGTTTACCAGCGCATGATCAACAAACAGGAGGCGGTGTGTCTGTTTGTGACCCACCCGGGGGAGATGGTGGGACAGCTGGCGGTGCTCACTGGAGAACCCCTAATATTCACCATCAAAGCCATTCGGGACTGTACTTATCTCAAGATCTCTAAGTCAGACTTCTATGAGTAAGATGGTCTTATTAGTCTGACTCTGTACTATACTAACATAGCTACAGTATCTTTTCTAAATTCTAATAACTATTCCTTTAGAATCATGCGGGAGCAGCCCAGTGTGGTCCTGATGGCAGCTCACACTGTGGCCATTCGTATGTCGGCCTTTGTCAGACAGATGGACTTCGCTATTGACTGGATGGCTGTGGAAGCTGGAAGAGCACTTTATAGGTACATGTTTGTGAGTTCTTCTTTATGATATTATCTTTGGCTTAACAATATTTCTTATGTTAAACATTTCAGACAAGATGACAAGTCAGATTGCACGTATATAGTGTTAAATGGCCGTCTGCGCTCAGTCATCAGAAAGGCAAATGGGAAGAAAGAACTGGTTGGAGAATATGGTAGAGGAGATCTTATTGGAGTGGTAAGTGTTTTTTCAATCCTAAAGTTTAGATTTACATCATGTTGAAATAGTGTATGTGCTAGAGGTGTCTTTATCATACTTGTCTTCAATGCCGCTATCACTGCTGACTATTGTCACCAGATGAATTATAACTGACATTTCCCCTTTTTTGAGGTGGAAGCTTTGACCAAACAGCCACGGGCCACCACTGTCCATGCAGTCAGGGACACAGAGCTGGTCAAACTGCCAGAGGGAACACTCAATAACATCAAAAGACGATATCCACAGGTCAGATATTCCACAATCAACATCTTTCCATTGGTGCTTTCTCATTTATGAAATGGTTGGGTTTAGGTGGTGACGAGGTTGATCCACTTGTTAGGCCAAAAGATTTTGGGAAACCTTCAGCAGGGACGAGGGCCTTTCACAGGTTAGAAAAACATACATGTATCACAAACATAAAACATAATAATGCTACATGAGTTTAGCTGAACTTTTCCTACTGTCCTCCAGCCTCTGCTCTGGGGCTGCCCAGTGTTGCCACCAGTGCAGATGTGACCAACCCCTCCAGTAACCTCTCCACGGTGGCCGTGCTGCCAGTGGGCGACGAGGTGCCGGTTAGCGCGTTTAACCTGGAGCTCAGCCACGCTCTCAGTGCCATCGGTAACGTTTCTGTGATTTTTTTGTTTGTTTTTAGTTGTGTTAAGATAAGATAAGATAAGATATCTCACAAAGGAGAAATTTACATGTCATATTCGGCATGGATAGAACACTCAAGATTGTGCAAAAAGAAAGAATGTGCAAACATGTTAAATGCAGGATATATTATGTACAAAAAAAGTGCCTTGTACCTGATCGTTTCATTTCCCATGTAGTTAGACAAAATGTGTGTGTGTGTGTGTGTGTGTACAAATATCTTGCAAAATAGCAGGTCTTTATGTCAGAAAGATATTAATGTCTATACTGTATATTTGAGGTCGCCAACCTCTGTTGCACCATGAACTGGTTTAGGATAAGATAATACTAGATAACCTTTATTCGTCCTTCAGACCATAGCTAGCTTAAAAGCACTCCTAAACTCACTGTGGTGAATAGTTAGGATGTAAGAAGTAAATCTGGACTGGGAAACAAGAATAAACTACATGAAAACTAGTTTTGTTTTTTGCTTATGTATTATGTTGAATATTAATGTTTTCTTTTATTGATTTATTTGTATAATTCATTTGTTAAGGACCAACTTTACTGTTAACCAGTGAAATCATAAGAGAGAGGTTGGGTGCCTCTGCATTGGACAGGTATGCTTGGTGCCGTCAAAAATTGGGTCTATATGAATACTCTTCTTTTATACAGAGATTGCTTTGTCATTTCCAGTATCCACGAGTACCGTCTGTCCGGCTGGCTGGCCCAGCAAGAGGACATTAATCGGATCGTCCTGTACCAGACGGACAGCAGCATGACCCCCTGGACTCAGCGCTGTATCCGACAGGCAGACTGCATCCTCATCGTGGGCGTGGGCGACCAGGAGCCTGCACTTGGAGAGGTGCATTTCTCAAAGAAAGAATGTGCTGTGTGTCAGAAGTAAATGTCCAGTCATGTTTCTCGTGTGTGTTTAGCTGGAGCAGATGCTAGAGAACACCGCAGTGCGAGCTCTGAAGAAGATGGTGATCCTGCACAGAGAGGACGGCCCGGACCCAGCGCGGACAGTGGAGTGGCTCAACATGAGAAGCTGGTGCTCAGGCCACCTCCACCTTAAGTGTCCCCGCAGGGTCTTTTCCCGACGTAGCCCCAGCAAACTGGTACATGCCTAAAGTCAGTAAATATGTGGGTATCCTCTCCCTAAAGCAATACTCTGCCTTACCAACAGAGGGAAGTGTATGAGAAGGTTTTTGAGAAGACAGCGGACATACATAGTGATTTCTCTCGGCTGGCTCGAGTCCTGACCGGGAACAGCATTGCTCTGGTGTTGGGAGGCGGTGGTGCCAGGCAAGAAAACATTATGCTTTTTCACCCTGATTAATGAAGTATATAGTTACTTATTACTATATTGAATTATGTAGAGGCTGTTCTCATGTTGGAGTAATTAAAGCCATGGAGGAAGCGGGAATTCCTATTGACATAGTAGGAGGGACTTCAATAGGATCATTCATTGGTGCACTGTACGCAGAGGAGAGGAGCGCTGTTCGGACCAAACAAAGAGCCCGGGAGTGGTCCAAGGTACTTTGTCACATTTGCTTTTAATTTCTATAAGGATATAGCATTAACATACTGTTATATTTAAACTTGTTTTGTGTAGGCAATGAATTCAGTTTTTAAGACCGTCCTGGATTTGACCTATCCCATCACCTCAATGTTCTCTGGCTCTGCTTTCAACACCAGTATATACAAGGTTTTCCAAGACAAACAAATTGAGGTAATAAAGGCGATAAGAGAGGATTTGGATGAAACAATCCCATTTACATGCTTGTGTATTTCTTTTCTAGGACTTGTGGTTGCCATATTTCAATGTCACAACTGACATCACCGCCTCAGCCATGCGAGTCCATCTGGATGGTAAGGGGAGGAACCCACGTTACATGTGCAAAAATACAATAGCAGTCTGACAACCAGTCTTTGATTGAACATTTAACACTTCACTAATAAATGCTAAAATGATCATTTCTGAGATTAAATGACACCACATGGAGTCTTAATTAAACAAATTCCGTTTTGCATGTCATACTTAATGCATGGCCCGACAGAAATGCTAATCTAGGAACTGCATGATAAACAAAATGCATGTACAATACATATCCAAAAATCCAAATTGAACAGAATTATGTATAAAACTGGGTTGTTTTTTACTTTATAGAAACTACTTCATAATAAGAACACAAATTCATTTCTATGTAACTTAAATGTGCTCTGTCCGACTTTGACGCTGGACAGTGCGCCATCTGCTCGTTTCCATAAAGGTGATTGCCTGGGATGTTCCCCAGTATAGCATTGGACATATCCTGTAGATTACGTATCATGGATTGTTGTAGTGAAAGTGCTAAACCCAGAAATTAGGTGGTTAGCACATGAATAAAAAGGAAAAAATTGTACAGTATGTGAGTACAACTGTCTCTCCTTTTTATTGACATGATAAATGTTTCCATCCTCTAACCTTGAACAACATGCTCGGTAAGTAAAAAATTTGAATGCTATATTGAGGAACATTCTAGGAAAACCAAAATTTCCACCATTATTATTTTGCTCGGAAATTGCTAGTTTGCAAAAATTGAAAATTCAACTACAATCTTTCTAAATCCATATTTGATTGCCTGTCTATCTATTGAATTCTGTGACCTGCATTGTGGCATGTGTTTGAACTGAGTCTTTTCTTTAGAGAAAAAAAAAAGTCATCTGTTAGCGTGCTTCTTTACACTCGTACTGTCATATCATTTATAAATCTTTTACTCTTTAACCCACCATCATTCTTACCAAATCATGCTAAATTATGTTTTTATGCCTACGTAACCAAATTATGGACATGTCATTTTCACTGTGCTGAAGTGGTTGTGATCCGTCTGCACATCACAGAGCAGTGCGCCGGCTTTAGTATAGACAATGTTTCCTGTCTTTGTCGACATGTAGGATCCAGAACACTCGCTTTTATCTTGCTTTAACACCACGCCATGCTTCTCTTTCAACTTCATCTCACCTCCATTTTGCTGCTTGTCTGCCTCTTGCAAACTAAACACGGTTTAGCCTCTTCAAATAGCCGATCTGGCAGTAATTTGTGCCACTGTGCCTGGCGCGTACCTCGACAACATTCACTGTGATGGATTCCTACATCAAATAGATAACTTGCTTCTCTTGCTGTATCTAACATCTAACAATTCTAATAATTCTATTTTGAACACAATAAACACCATATTTTAGATTATTTAGATGACTTGTGTTTTACTTATTTTGTGAAACTATAGTATGTTTGACCCAATTACAGTTTATTATAATTATGTAGTATAGTCTTGCTGTTTTTGCTCCATCTCTTCTCTTTTCTTTCCCATCCGTCAGTCCAGCCCACATTTGATGTGTTGCTCCTTCTCCATATCATGTTCCAGGTTGCGCCTGGCGCTATGTCAGGGCCAGCGCCTCCTACACCCCTTATTTACCCCCCCTCTGCGACCCCAAGGACGGCCACTTGCTTGTGGATGGTTGCTATGTTAACAATGTCCCAGGTCAGATTTTTAAACAGCCACTCTCCTCCCTCAAAGGGCCCTCTTACTAAACCCTCCTGACCGGCTGGACATTGGTAGAACATGGTTTGGAAGGAAATGTTAATACCACTAGTAGAATTTGAGATTGTGCTATCAACACACTTTTCCCAAAAAAATTCAAATTTTAGCTAACATTTCAACATGGTTAGCACTGCTAACTTCCAAAGTGTCGCCTCCATGCATGTCTGAATATGAAAACAGACAAATGCATGACGATCTTAGATCACTTTAAATTAAAGTTATATGCTCTAAGTTTGTGTAAACTATCAGTCGTACAGGGATTATTCAAAACAAAGGAAGGTTGCTCCCCATCATCTGTACTTCAGTTAGCAGGTTATCCCGACATTTTTTTTTTCTTCATCCAAAGAACTTTTTCTAGGGAATGAAAGCTCAGCCGCAGGTTGGAGATTTATAAACTGTGGGTGTGGTTAGACACCCCCTGATCCTGAGGCTAACTAAAAAGTTATTTGGATGAAGAACAAAACGTCGGGAAAACCTGCCTAACTGAAGTACAGGTGATGGGTGAGCAACTTTATTATATGCTCTGTTATTAAAACAAAAATCCTTCTTCCTGAACATTACTCGGAAAAGTAATTAGGTAATTAGTCAATATCGGTTTGTGATTCTATTGTGAGGAGCTTGAATGTTGTCATCCTGTGGTGTCAGTTCATGCTTTGTTTCCTGTGAGAGCAGATACTTCAGTTTGAGCCATTTCACCACAGCTTATTTATCCTGTCTTTGCTTGCTTTTACGATTGCATGATGTCATTCAGTTTGAACATATATTTATGCTTTGAATACTTTTAAATGAAATGTGTTCTGGATCCTGCAGTGGCTGTTCATGAGTTCAGTTCATTCAGATTCATTCATTCACAGACCACATACATGCAATACATGCAATTTGCACCGTATCTATGGTGCTCCCTATCCTTCCAACCCATGCAGCGGCCTGCTCCCGCCCCCTGCTGGCAATGGAGGGAAGAGCAGGCTGACTGTGCCATGTTCACGGTGAGATCTTGAGACATGGTCTCAACAAGCTGCCATTGTCAGCACTAAAATACATTGTGCTACTAAAATACAAGATGAAATGGTTATAAATAACATGAGGCATCTTGTTGGGATCTAGTTTGGAGATCTAACAGCCTTGGCGCTCTGTGATTATGCCATGTCCTTTGTTACCTGCTGCACTGTGAGTGTGCGAGGTAGTGAGGTGCAGAGGTGCACTCAGAGTGTAAAGGTGGGCAGAACCGCAAGACACTCCCAAAAGGACTCTGGTCCCTCTGGGTGAGTGTTGTGGCCTGTGCCAGCACTAACAGACCGGTATTGAGATGTTATTCCCTTCCTCCTCCACCCGCTGCACCAGGCTCTCTATGGCGCTATGTGCGTGCCAGCATGACCCTGTCGGGGTACCTGCCACCCCTCTGTGATCCCAAAGATGGAAACTTACTCATGGACGGGGGCTACATCAACAACCTGCCAGGCAAGTAGGGCTCCTGCAAAGGACCCAGAGCCAGGAGGAGGGAGAGGTGGGGATGTGTCAGGTCCTGTTAGAGACTAGTGCTTGATTGGAGGTAAGTATAAAAGTCAGAGTTGATGGTTGAATGGAGTGCTGAGTTTACTCATTCCTTTTAAAGATTGTGAGGTGAAAACTCAGCATTCAGATTCACATCAAATCATATTTTATAAATAAATATATTTATGAATATTTGACTATACGTTTCAAACCTGTTATGTAAATCAGTTACATGTTTATTGTACATTAATTTCCAGCTCTCAAGTTGAATAAAGAGCTATACCTTCACTTCACGGAACAATGATATAGCTATGTCATTACCCACAGTGGCCCATCACTTTTTCCAAAAGTTAATTTCCAGATTATCCTCTACAATTGGTTTTATAAGAAAAAAAATACAGTGCTGTTTGAGATTTTTGTAACTACAATTTAATCTACATTATGTTGAGTTAGAAATTCTGTGTTATCATTAAGTCTTTTAAATGTAGGTACAATGCGACTTCAAAGACATGTGTCTTTAAACTCGTTGATTTTGTTTTGTGAATTGAAATGGGAAGTTTACTTTGGGATTAGCTGTATTTTTATCCTCTTCTACTTCTAAATATATCAATTCAATTACAGCATTTATTTCAACTTGAGGCTGTGAGGGTGGTGTCAATCTTGTGTGTGTTTTATCAGTGGTATTCAACTTTACTTTATTTTTTTAAACCTTTGTTAAAATTGATTATTAGAGGCTTTAATACATCTTTGCACTAATAAAATGTCTTGTCTTTTCTGTGGTCCTGAAATTCTGCAAAGCTGTTTTAATGTGAATTATTTCCCAATTTCAGCTTTGCAGACATTTTTCTAACACTAATCCAAGAACCTTTTATGCATTGATCGTTGAGACATGTATTTTCTCCTGAAAATGGTGCTTCCTCAATGGATTAGTGTTTGGGACTTTGGTGTGGTTTCTTCGTCTTCTATAATATGGCACAACACCACAAAGTGCTCACCCTTGGGGGTACGAGGTTTAGCAAAGCAAAAAGAAAATTCATTCAAAAATAAAGCTGGGGTACCTGACTTTCAAACCACTTATTTTTTAAATCTAAATTGTCTCGCATACATGTATTTTTGGTCTCTTCTTAAGATCAGCTTTTTAAACAGAAAGGTAAAAAAGAGAGGACCATCTTCAATCAGCAAAGTGTCAAATAATTCAAAAAGTGTCAAATAGTTACTCACAGGGTTCTTTCTTACTATTATGCTAAATATACGTTTTCTACTAAAATAAACCAGCATTTCGTGGTCTGATTTGTACACAAAATGATACTTTTTTCAAGCCGCTTTCTGTTGAGGCAAACAAAATGCATTTATGACACAAAAAAAGTTTGGTGCCTCAGCTTTAAGACCACTGGATTAACTGGCTTTTTAACATTTGATCTTTAACAGTAATCCGTAAATTTAAGCACACCTTAATGAAACCATTTTGTGGTGTACAGTCACCAACTTTTCCCTCCAGAATAAAGATAACATTGTTTTGGAGTGAAATAAATAATATGTATTCCATCTTGTTGCGTATTTCTCGGTGTAGCTGACATTGCGAGGAACATGGGTGCCAAAACTGTCATCGCGATCGACGTGGGGAGTCAGGATGAGACCGACCTGTGTAACTATGGAGACTCCCTTTCGGGATGGTGGTTGCTCTGGAAACGCATCAACCCTTGGGCCGAGAAAGTTAAGGTGAATATCGCACAGATTAAGAAGTTTTCACTGTTTAGAAGCTGTGTCTGTGCATGAACGTTTGAACTTATTGTCTATTGAAGCGTTTACATGAAAACCAGACAGTCACTACTTTGCGGTCTATATGCGCCCCCTGTTTTTTCAGAATGTATTCATCTAGTTACATTATTTTGACTCCATCAAGTTTTTGTAGGGATGGGACACATTCTGTTAGATTGGGTTTACCAGAATTCTTTGATCTCCTCGAGTCAGGAGGAAAAGTCTGTCAATAAATCAGGCTGAAAGCGGTTAAAACAGAGATGTAGCTGGTGTGGTTATATGCATAGGTGCGCTTATTAGTCCAGTACGATGCATCGGCTCTTCCCATTTAAATCAATTATTCAAAACACAAACCTGAACGCACATCTGGTTCATACAAGTATTATGTATATTTAGTCTTCTGAGAAAATTGATTGTTTGTTCAAAATATGAGTTGTATACTGTTTCTGGACTATTAAAAGCACCTGCATCTATCCGCACCTGCAATATACAAAAATAAAGTAAGTTTTTTTCCACATATAGGCCCCAGTTCATCATAAACTGCAGATTTTCATGTTGTAATTTAGCAGGTAGATGACTGTTTTAACTGATCATAACATGATTTAATGATAAAGTATTGAACAGCTTGATCAGTAGCTTCCATGCCGGTAATCTTTCACCAGTCTATTCTGACAATAACCGAGTGTCCTATAGCTACTAAAACATGATGGAGTCAGAATAAAAAGTCCATAAACTTTGGCTGCATTGCTATTCAAGCTGCAGGTTTCAAAGAACTAGAAAAGCCAGGGCTTAAAGTTTTCCGGCACCGTGCCGGAAATCCGGCGTGAGAAAAAAAAAAAAAAAAAAAATCACTTTTTTTTTTTTTTAATATATATATATAAATAAATAATGATTGCTGTCATTTGAAAAAAGGTTCAAGTGTGTTCTACCAATTGTATGAAAGGATTGCATGTGTATAGCGCAGGGATTAAAGAGTTCCGTCTAAGTGACGGATTTCCGTCAAATGAAATTGGTCTGAAAAAAAAACAAAATATATAATAATAATATAATACACACAATGAAATGGTTAATTATAACAAAATATATAGTAATACGTGTGAATCTGTTGTATATATCTAGATATATATTAATAATTTGAATATAATTGTATTTATATGTATATAGAAATAAAAAGTAATATAATCACGAGTGGGCCTTGAACGTGCCGTGGCTAGCTACATGAGCGCTCCGTAAATGATTCAAGGCAATGGGACGTAGCCAAGTTAGCGATGGTAACACGGAGGTGAAAGTTTCTGAAAAGTGCACGGAGCTTTTGAAAAGGAGAAGAGGACAAGGAAAATGTAATCCCGAACGGAGCAATAACAGCCAGCAGCCCGCGGACCGGTAAACTGGGCGCGTTATCAGAGGAAAGGTAGGACATAATTAACGTTTACCAAACGCAATGCTTTTTTATTTAACGGAATGTACAATATGTACTTTGCTGTGACTGGGAATGGGGACAAGCATGTCTTGGTGAGCTTTTGATAATATCTTGGTGGCGATCCCCATGCAAAACTGCGTGATAAAAAGAGCCAATCAACGAGAGCGAACGGAAGAAACTCGCAGAAGAAAGGTGTGTGTTAGCAGGTCTTATATTCATTCATCAAAGCTAGCCTAGCATGCACGCACAATCACAATCATGGATCGTTTATGGAAGAAGGAGCAGTATAAGTTGCTGTTTATAACAGTGAAAAATAAATGGAGGTGGGCATGGCTGGATGAGGTGGAGACGATGGGATTCTGTTGCTTCATGGTGCAAAAAGATGAAGGTGTCCGGTGCTTGTTCGTACTTCGCTATTATTATTTTTTTATATGGGAGTAATGAGAAAACAGCTTTGGATTCACCACCAGCTCAAAACTGCGCACTTGGCAGCTGTCCGTGCACTTTCCCACACTTCTTTACCTGGTGCATCAGATTCAGCGACAACTGAGACTAGGCTTGTTCTGGTGGACTGTGTCTGTGACTTAAAACTAAGAGTCTGTGGCTTTATCGCAGAAAATAACCTGTCGTTCAGAACCATCACTACTGCTGGTAGATTTAATTATCATTAATCATTTGCAGTTGATAAAACTGCGCTGTGCACTAGCACCAAGTTGATAGGGAAACCTTTTTCTTAAACATTGAGTGTCCACAAACAAATGTGGACAGAATTTTGAATGTCCTTTTTAACATGTTGGGCGGAGGCTACTTTGTCTGAACAATTAAATAGAGGGAAAAAACCGCATGGTCCAGAGGAGGAAGCAGCTGGTGCAGAGGAGAGTTGTCTGGCTGGTCCAGAGGAGGAGGCAGCTGGTGCAGAGGAGAGTTGTCTGGCTGGTCCAGAGGAGGAGGCAGCTGGTGCAGAGGAGAGTTGTCTGGCTGGTCCAGAGGAGGAGGCAGCTGGTGCAGAGGAGAGTTGTCTGGCTGGTCCAGAGGAGGAGGCAGCTGGTGCAGAGGAGAGTTGTCTGGCTGGTCCAGAGGAGTGGGCAGCTGGTGCAGAGGAGGAGGCAGCTGGTGCAGAGGAGAGTTGTCTGGCTGGTCCAGAGGAGATGATAAAAAGGCTGCAGCCCCACCGCACCAGCCAGACAACTCTCCTCTGCACCAGCTGCCTCCTCCTCTGGACCAGCCAGACAACTCTCCTCTGCACCAGCTGCCTCCTCCTCTGGACCAGCCAGACAACTCTCCTCTGCACCAGCTGCCTCCTCCTCTGCACCAGCTGCCTCCTCCTCTGGACCAGCCAGACAACTCTCCTCTGCACCAGCTGCCTCCTCCTCTGGACCAGCCAGACAACTCTCCTCTGCACCAGCTGCCTCCTCCTCTGGACCAGCCAGACAACTCTCCTCTGCACCAGCTGCCTCCTCCTCTGCACCAGCTGCCTCCTCCTCTGGACCAGCCAGACAACTCTCCTCTGCACCAGCTGCCTCCTCCTCTGGACCAGCCAGACAACTCTCCTCTGCACCAGCTGCCTCCTCCTCTGCACCAGCTGCCTCCTCCTCTGGACCAGCCAGACAACTCTCCTCTGCACCAGCTGCCTCCTCCTCTGGACCAGCCAGACAACTCTCCTCTGCACCAGCTGCCTCCTCCTCTGGACCAGCCAGCACAACTCTCCTCTGCACCAGCTGCCTCCTCCTCTGCACCAGCTGCCTCCTCCTCTGGACCAGCCAGACAACTCTCCTCTGCACCAGCTGCCTCCTCCTCTGCACCAGCTGCCTCCTCCTCTGGACCAGCCAGACAACTCTCCTCTGCACCAGCTGCCTCCTCCTCTGGACCAGCCAGACAACTCTCCTCTGCACCAGCTGCCTCCTCCTCTGGACCAGCCAGACAACTCTCCTCTGCACCAGCTGCTTCCTCCTCTGGACCATGCGGTTTTTTCCCTCTATTTAATTGTTCAGACAAAGTAGCCTCCTCATTAAACCCTCCGCCCAACATGTTAAAAAGAAAGCATACAGATAATTCACACCCTAAACAAAAGAAAAAGAAATGAATATTTCAAACAGTACTGTTAGCATTTGTGTTGTTTTGTAATGTTTTACCAAATCAAAGTCTATTGAAAGTTAACACAGGTGCTTTATGAAGACACACAGCACAAAGCTCATTTGCACTTTAGTTTCATTTATTTGTGTTGAAAGCTAAATGTTTAATAAGTAGAATTTAAAAGTTAAGGTTTATTTATATATTTAAGGTTGAATCTGGAAGTGTTCTTGTTGCCTGATCCAGTGTTTTTAGTTTTTGTATGTCATATCTGATGTCTAGTTTGGATGTTTAATCAGTTTACAGTTTACACATAAAATCTTAGTAATAACATCAATAATAATTAAAAAAAAGAAAATAGTATATTCACTTACTGTGATGTGGTATGTTTTTTTTTTTTTTTTACATTATCACACAAATCCAAACTAGGGGTACTTGCAGAAAGGTCTTGGTGAGGCTTTACATTTAAGTAACAATTCAATAGTCAGATGATGTATTTATTGCCAACAACTGATGTTTATAATAAACATCAGTTGTTGGCAATAAATAGATATAAATTATATGTATGAGCGTATAAAGGCGCTTATAAAAAACGCTTATTAGTGATCATTCTATGATTCATATAGATGGTTCAGGCTCAGGAATTTTTTCAACTTTAACCCATGAAAAGCTCTTAGTCCGGAAATGATAGTACTTCTAAAATATATCATCAAAGTGCAGGAAAACTCAATTACTAAAATCATCGATAGCTGCAGCCCTCGTCATGTAAGTTTCTCTATTGTGTGATCAATAAAATTTGATCTTATCATCAAATTGAACAAACGCACACACACACACACAGAATATCTTCCTCAGTTACTACTCATTTCCTAGTTTTGTTATTGTTTTATTTTATTTTTTTGTTTTGTTTCTTGTCAACATCAGTCTATTAGTTATCTTTCTGTCTCTTTATGTCAATATTGTATTGTTGTGCTCCCACTGATGCCTGCTGTCATTGTGTCTTTGCGCAAGACACTTAACCCCATTTTGCCAGCCCCCACTGAAAGATGCAGCTCCTGCAGGAGGATCAGTGAGGGGCTGGTGCTAAGTGTACTGGGTGCAGCTCTGACTGACACACCCCCAACCCCCCGACCCAGAAATTGATTAAGGGGAAGAAGATGGATGGATGGATGTATTATATTGTTTGTGTAAATGTTGCATCATAAAAAAAGAAAAAGAAAAGAAATTGGACAATCTTGCATATTACTTTTGATATGCAAGTCCGTCCAGTTTTCTTGCTACTCTAAGTCTCATCGTTACACACTGCAGAACTACTTAATTCAAACTAACAGAAGACTCAGACCAGTTGCAATCCTTTCAGTACATCCCAATTCCAATAATTCTCAATAAATTATATTGTTTCCTGATGCCCAGATGTTTATGGTCTGACTTGTGTGTTCCAGGTGCCGGACATGGCGGAGATCCAGTCCCGCTTGGCTTATGTGTCATGTGTGCGGCAGTTGGAGTTGGTGAAGAAAAGTGCCTACTGTGAGTACATCAGACCTCCCATCGACCGCTTCAAGACCATGGACTTTGGGAAGTTTGATGAGATCCATGTACGTAAACTCTCACTTTATTTTCATGTCGTTTGTTTTCTTTAGACGCCACAGGTGCCACCATAATTATTCCTGTTGTGATTTTGACATTTACAGACTTTATAAATGGAAATGTCAGCACAAAGGCGGCATCAGGAGTAATACATTCATGCTTTTATGTGCCTCTTTAGTGATACAATTTGAACTGCTGGATTATCAAGTTAATGATGTCAAAAAAGTGACATGTTCTTTTAGTATTGTTTAGCTCCAGGTTTTTTGGGGACATAATTCATCTATCCTTTTTTTGTCTGTCTGTCAAAACCTTCAAATGACCACTCAACTCGCAAATATAAATAAAAACGCTGTTAACATTTAAACAGGTTTCTTACTGAAATTCAACATGAAACCAAGTGTATAACAAATGTAATGTTTTAAAACTGGAGTACCTTTTGAAACCACAACATAATAAGCTACGTAATATATTCCATGTAAGTAGTTATTCTCTATAAGAGTTTGGTTGATAACGAGTTTTCACATTAATGTTTTATTGGCCTCTGTCATCATTTTAGACCAGCTTTTTTAGAGAAACTTTTATTTAGAGAGCCACGGTTTAGAGCATTGCAGCACTATCATCTAAATAATGTTCACATAACGCTCCAAAGATAGAACATATTATTTCTATTTGCACATGACTGAATTGATTTGTAAAACGCGTTCTTTTGTTTGATGTTTTGCGCTCAGGACGTGGGTTTCCAACACGGTAAGCTGTTGTTCACGGGTTGGGCTCGCGGAGACATTATCCAGAACATGCTGAAGGACCATCGCTCGGCCGACTACAAAGACAGCAAGAAAACAGATGTAAGACAAACTCTGCACATCTTTTTGAGTCAATACACATCTATTTTTAGTATAAATATAGGGTTATACAGTATTATGGTATGTTTTACATCTGTTTTCCATGTTTTGCCTGCGTACATGTCATGTTACTGTCATGTGTTTTGTTGGAGGGTATTGTACTGTAGGCTTTTGATTCTTTTCTATTTTTGTATTGTAGTATGTGTTTGTATGGCGCGGAGGGGATTGGATTAAAATAAGCTTTTTGCTTCGACCAATCCCTTTTCGAATCATGCACAGGCTTTCTTGTTCACTCCTATTATATTTTTTCTGTGAATAATTGTTTGTATACCTCAACACACACCCTGTTTTACACATACAGTGGTCTCTTAGTAATTTTGCATGCTTTTTATTTACAGCGTACTTCTTGTGCACCACTTTTGTGACCTGCCGTGATTAGTTCAGAGAAATACTGCGGTCTTCCGTCCTCACATATACTTCGAGTCTAGAGATCATTATGCGTTTCTAGGATTTTGGAGAAAACACTGGCAAGGGTAATGGGCTTGAAATGTTGCATAATATTTAACTTCAGCCTAGTCTTTGACGGCAGGTGCCAGAGCAACTGAAAGTATGGACTCGTAGGCAGAATGAATCAGAGGCAGAACTCCATGGGTTACGAAGCCAGTAAAACACATAGACTACAGAGGGCATATCAGGTGAGAAGCTGTAGTTTTATCCAGCTGAGCACTTCAGGATGCCATTTTCACTGAAGATAAGATTCACCTGCATGAATCACAATTCACACACAATTTCCTCAATAAATTATTCAATGATACATTCAATACAAAAAAAAAATAGATAAAAACTAAATCATAATATCAACAAATGCTTTTGCTTTTATTTCAGTCTTGCACTTGTCCAGATGCAGACTTCACTGACCTTGCAGAAATCGTATCCCGGATCGAGCCGGTTCAGACTTTTGTGGCGGCAGACGGTAACATTTGATTGATAATTTGTGTGTTTAAAATGTATGATTGAATTCAAGATAAGGATATGCAGATGTGTATTTCTCCTATTTTAGAACTATCAATCAGTCAATACTGGTGTAAAATAGTGTTTAGCTTAGTTGACTTCCTGTTCAAAACTGTAGAGCTAATTTTGGCACAGCTACCGTTCTCTGTAGCAAGAAGCAGCTTTCAAGCCTTTAACTTTTTGGTAAACGATGTGCAACATACTTGTGTGTGACTGTAGATCTGTGAGTTTCAGCTTCCTTTTTCAGGACATTTTGAGGAAGTTTTTTCATTCAAAAGATATATTTCATTTTGCTAATGGTCCTCCTTTTTGTCCTCCAGAAAACCATGGATTGTCTACTTCTATCCTTTCATCTGAATTATTGCATTATTACATTTCTACTGCCTTCCATGAAACTGGGACATTTTCCCAGCTAAGTTATTTCCCAGTGGGAACATGTCCAAGTGGGAACATGCATATGAGCAAACAAAATGACTGCTAACCAACTGCAAATGTGACAAGCTGTTTTTTGGGAAAAATGTAATTTTATAAAAATTATACAATAAACTATGATGATTCTCGCAGTCAGAGCAGTTGGTTTAGTGGCTGCAATCAACAACAAATTTCCCTCTGTCGCCTACATATTAATAGTAATAATAATAGTACCTCCTTATTTTTATAGCACTTTTCAAATACAGTGCTTACAAAGCGCTGCACAGTCTGCATAATCAATAAAAATGGCCAATAAAATAGTCATAATAATGCAATGTCAAAATAATTAACAGTAGAAAAAAGGATACAGGAAGACAAAGTAGGTCATACAAGAGGAAAGACAAAACAAAATCTCATGTCCCATGATCCTTTGCACAGAGGAGTCGGACTGTCTGACGGAGTACGAGGAGGACGGGATGGACACCGTGAGGGAGGAGGAGACCGACGACCACTCACCAGGAGACTGGGGCCCTAATGGTGTTTTTCACACGGTAACTAGTGACAATACAATACAATACAATTTATTCTTGTACAGCCCTAAATCACAACAGAAGTCATCTCAGAGGACTTAACAAAACCATTGAAATCACCAACACAAGTCAGAGAATCAACAGTTAAGACACAAAAATAATATAGAAGACATGTTGATAAATGTCCATACATGTTGTAGAATGCTAAAGTGTCCTGGATCATCACCACATCCTTTTTGTTAGACACCAACTTTCCAACAGACTCTCCTGATTCTGATTCTGATTCTGATTCTGATTCTGATTCTGATTCTGCATCGGCAAGGAAAAACTCCAGTGGGAGAAAAGCATAGACTGTATATATATTAATGGACATAGTCACGCCTTTCTCTGCCGTTCTAACTAATGGGCCAAAAATTGGGCTTTCATGGAGTGATTCAAAATGGCCGCGGGGGCTGGAAAATGTGAAAAAACGCATCTGCGCATGCGTCAGCCGGCACGAGCTCCATTCATTTAAACGAGTGACTTCAAAAATTCACGGCGAGTAAACTAGAGTGGTCCAAAGAAATTCACCCCCCTCAGCATTGACACACATGTGGAACAGAGCTTTGAGCCAAGGGCCAACTTTTGGACCATCCTGTAAAGACGTTTTCAACAGGTAAGAAGATGCTTTATGTTAGCATTGGCTCATTCTTATTCCGGGTCCACCCCCATCGGCCCGGGGTGGTATTGCAAGCACACGTCATTTTGGCCACTTTTGAGCCAGGACCCGCCCCCACTGGAGAAAAGTGAGAAACCTTTGGGAGACCCACATATTGAGAGAGGGATCCCCTCCTCATGGACGGACGGGCTATAGGTTCAGGACCTAAGCTACAGAACGAGGACCAATGTCACGCAGTGGCCGCAGAGCGTGGACAGGTCCGGTGCAGGACTGAAGCGCTCCCAGGCGGATCGGGCAGGGCAGTCCGCAGGTGTAGATGGAGGAGGCCAGGTTCGTACCATGAAACAGACAATGGGACAACGGGTGAATAGCAATGAACAGACTACAGTCAAAATCCTAATAATGCAAACAGATAACGTAGGAAGGAGGAGAGGATAGTGCTGAAGTTACCATACTTCTCCCAGCAAACTGACTCCCTATGCAGCTTGACTGACAGTCTAAGATGTTTAGCCTTCCCTGAGTCTTACCTTCCTAACCATATGCTAAACTGAAGAGGATTGTTTTAGCCTAGCCTAGAATGTAGGGTTGAAGATGCAGCGGACCGGGTCCCGTACAAGCAGACTCCAAGACCAGACAAGCAACCTAATCATGTGCAAAACTGAAGAAGAGTGTTTTAAGCCTGGCCTTAAATGTAGAGACCGTGTCTGCCTCCTTAACATGGATGTGAAGCTGATTCCACAGTAAAGGAGCTTGGTAGCTTAATGCTCTGCCGCCAATGATCAGAAACTCAGAGATAAAATAAATTCAGTCTAAAAGGCGTACTAAAAATACTACTGTACTATAATAGACAAATATTAATTAAATCACATGTCGAATGAATGTGTTTATTATTCAACAACTATTTGTATTTCTGGCTCTGCGACCAAACAACTGCTGTGATGATTCAGCAATGTGAATGTTTATATAATGTACATGGCCTGTGCTCAAATATAATCTGCAGTGGTTTGGTCAATTTTTTTTGTCAGATTTAAATGCTACTCACTCTCTTCTACAGTCGGATTAGTCCATGCATGCACTCTGTCTCAGCACGACAGGTCACAAAGCAGACCGTGAGGATGGGCTTAATCAAGGTTTATAGTATGAATTATTAATTATGAATTATGAACGCAAAGAGACAGATGGACATGTGTGAAAAGCAATGCAACTAGCACACCCCAACAAACTAAAATGAATGTTCTTGTTATAACTGTGACCTACTTATTATTTTACCTTACCTAATCCTGTAGTCTGGGTTTCGCCTTTGACATTGTCCGTTTGTTTTTTAGGATGAAGAAAAATCTGTGCGTCAACGCCGTAAACTCGCCAGTGACTCAAACCTATCGGAGGTGTCGGACAGCTGAAGGAGAGAACAGACCAGGACTTCCAGTCTAGGATGAAACTATTTCTAAGAAAGCACCTCTTACTGTGTCTCTGGAGGAAAAGACTTCACGTTCTATTTTATGAGATAGAATAGAACGTGAAGATATTTTTTATGATTTTGGTTGCAGCCAATGGCTTGGTTTGACTTCAGCGGAGCCTTCTGATGCAACCCACTTTTTAACAAGGCTTGGGACCAGCACAAAGGGAGCTCAACCCAGGAAATGCTTCTCCCTGTGTTCAGAAAAATACACAACAAACTAGTGGGACTTTTGTGATTAGAATTGAAGCCTGCATGGTCTGTCTGTGACTTCTCCATTCACTTCCTGTCTGTAGATTTCTATTGCATCTTATGGTTACTGCTGTGAAATAGTCTATGGCACTACTTTACTAAAATAACTTTGTACAGCTATGGGACAACACAGTGCTTTAGCTTAACAAAAGAAAGGACCATAAATTATGTTAACTTATTTAACGCACAATTGACCTGCTGCAGTGGGGGATGAGAGTGAAATATAACTTCATTTTGTTTTAATCAATGCCACTTTTAGATCATGCCTTTTTAAAATTAATTACAACATGGGATACTCAGGTTTTCTGCTCCAAGTCTTAAGATTGACACAAGCCTTGTGACTAAAGAAACTGTAAATGTATTGTTAAATATGTGTATATAGGAAATATTGTTAATATTGTTGAATTTGAGCCTTGAATTGCGCAGAAACTCTGAGTAATCTGTCGTTAAATTTAGAGTATAATAGAAGTTGTATTCTCACACGTGAATGAATCAATGCTTTATTGAATTTCAAGGGAGTGATCAAGAAGACAGATGCCAGATTTGCTTTTTTGTATTTATAAAAACTGCTGGCTTTAAAAGAACATTTGTTTTAGGCTATTATTTTAATTAACCTGGGCTTTAGCTGTTTTGCACTGAAATGTTGGACGTGTTCCTTTTGCTCATTGATTTGAGACTGACATGGGAAACAAAAATATAAAAAGAGTATTATTGCATAATGAAAATAAATGTTAAAAAAACAGCTCATGGTGTTTGATATTTTCTTTTTTACTATGTTTCTTTTTTTAAATGCACTTTTGACATCAACAAACACTTGAGACCGGAGCAGCTGTGGTCTGTTGGCAGAGAACAAGGGAATCAGTAAAGCTGTGTAATTGAGCTCTATGTAGCAATGTTTTAAATGCTTTAGTTTTACTTTTAACTGGAGTACCTATTTCACAAATGTTCCTTGTCCCATTTGAGTCTTATTTCAGTCATATTTTGTGGATAAATTAGACTACAACATTCGTAATCTTACTACAAATAATAGAATCTGTTTGAAAACATGTCATACACACTGAGGGCTGATGCACTTTTACATTGGAAAAACTGATATATCCATGTTAAAATTAGTGATAAAACCTGTTTTGAGAGCATGTAAATAAAATATAAAGGTGAGTGCAGTATGAGACAGAATAATCTTAATCAGAATTTATTTTTATTGCCATTGTAAGTCACAGGAAGTTTCACATGGATGGATAAAATGTCTTAAAATGACTACAAAACACAAGTGCACTAAGTACGCACAATAGACATTTAGCGGTGTAAAGTTACAGTAGGTGGCAGAACCTCCTAGATCCATGCCATAGATCCATGGAACAGCCCTCTCTTGAGCTTCCATCCTGCAGCGATGGTTGTACTGACAGATTGTTAATAAAGTCCATAGCACATGACAAAAGTGAAATCTATCAGATCATGTTTGAACTCAATGGAAAAAGTACCAATATTCTGTTTAAACAAATGCATGTCTCATAAAAAGCTTCAACTCATTCAACAGTCATCACAGATCTGAGTCAAAGCCCTTCTTCATTAGCCATAATGATCATTACCACTCAATATCTATTCTTTATAATAATGAAACCCAATCTATGTCCTTTGAAAACCGTTTTAACTGCTCAGAACTAAAAACGATTAACATTGTCAATGGTATTCAAATGTTAAGAATTATCCTCTTCGAATAAATAATATGAGAAAACCTTGAATCAACACACAATGGTCCAGTGAACGTACTTTGCTTAAACAGTAATTCAGGTCAAAGTGGCACATTTGGTCACATACTGCACATCTCAGTCCTTTTCTCTGGGACAGAAATAACAGAAAACATACGAGCCCCTGCTTGTCTTATTCTAGTGGAAAGTCCTTGACGGCTGGAGCAGGTTGCATGTTTCTCTGAGGCTTTAAAAGTGAGCTGAGTGTTTGAGGTCTGCAGCTCTTCTGCTGCTCCTCATCATGGACGTCCTGCTTTGTCTCTGTGCTCTGCTGGTGCTGGCCTCTGCTCAGGCCCAGGCCCCCAAACGATGCGGTGGGTGACACGTGATTTACTGTACACAGATTAAATATACAGTAACCATATAATTCTAGACAAACAGATATTCTATGCAGACTTTCATTTAAATGTACATTTCAGCATCGAACAAGTGACAACTCATTCTCAATACAGAGCTATGCAGCACAATGTGAGAGGAGGGGCCATCGCCTGTATATCGCCACTAGTTTTAATGCCAACAGTTTTCTTTATTTCAAAACATTTATAATGCACACTAAAACAACACTTGTGCACCTTAAAGATTTTCTGATTACATACAACTTGTATGTAATTAGAAATAAAGTATATTGATATAAATTAAACAGTGGTCTTACCTTATCTCCTATTTAAATCTATTCATCAACTTCAATCTGATCTTGGGAAGCGCTCTTCTTCACAGAATCCCCTCCAATGATGTCCGGTGGTTTCAGTTTGGTGCGTGTTTCCAGCTCATTCCTTTTAAACATTTGTAGTTTGTTTATTCTATTCAAACCTGTTCCTCCTTTTGCAGATGGAAACCAATGGACTTTTCAACTCCTACGGGAAAATCTCTTATGATAACTTTGGCCAGAAGGTTTCTCTTCAATACTCTGCTCCCAGTAATAACACCATTACTACTATCAAGGTTCTCATGCTTTACAGTCAGGTAAAACGAGGAAAAGTCATAATAAAAGGCTAGACAAAAGTATGTTATTAAATCCTGTATGTCTTGATTTGATTTTTCAGAAAGTGTTCTATGAAATTAATTCGAACAGATTCACTTGCAAAAAAAGACGCCTGGACGATGCCTTTATTCCCATCCATGTTCCATCTGATGCCAAGCATATGGGACAAGCTATTCTGGGCTCGTCTTCATCCTGGGGCATGGGGGTCCTGGTCAACACCTGGTATGGATCTCTGCCTGATAATTGTAAGAAAGTAAACTAGATATTTACCTAAAAACACAGCCTCAGCTCGTGCATTTTACCACCATAGGGATTATAGAAACGTCACTTGTTACTAATATTTACATACAGTCAAAGAGGCACAGCGCACTGTACTGTCTGTGCAGAGATAACTATTTCTGATAACAATAAAAAAAAAATTTTTTCAAGCAATGATGTTTTTATTTTATGTTGCATTATTGGCAATCAACGGTTTACAAGTTTCTGTTGTGTTGTAGGCACTTATTCAACTGTTTTCACTGAAGTTGGCTGCATTCCTATGACTTACTCTGCCTACACCCCCAAGTCTGGTTTCAGCATTCTCAGGTACGTATTCTGGAGGTGACAAGTATTTTTCGATTGAAGTATTTCATCCTGGTACCTGAACTCTATTTATACTTTTTACTCCTTACTTTTAAACCCAAATATCTATACTTTCTACTTCAGAACTTTTAAGACCTGCAGATGACGAAACAGAAATACAACTAAAATGAAAAGTGCAAACCTCAATGTTGAAGGACGTTTGCCCAAATTCACTGACGAATACAGGTTTAAAGTGGTTAGCCATGCTTCTAAGTTCCCTTTTGCTGTGTTTTGTTCATTCTGTGTCGGTACAAAAAATCTGCGACAACAATAGCTACATTAAGTGTTTCAGAGAAAGTGCTAAATAAATCTCAAATGTATATATTCCTAATTAGTCCAGCGTTACAGTACATGCTGGACTATTAAGCACCTGTAAACAAACTGCAGCAGTTAAATGTTCAGATAAAGTACACTGTGTTCACAACCAGGGCACACTTGATCATAAGCTGCATGCAAAATCCTCCTATATATACTTGAATATATATAGGAGGATTTTCCCAAAAGTTGAGGATATAACCGCCCTCTCCATTTTTTGAACAAAACTATCTGGTCTTATTTGACAAGCACGACTCATCAGAATTATGAGGCAAAACAAATGTGATTGACTCTTTTAACTGGACTCGACATGATTTAATGAGGAGGTGATGTTCCAAGCACTCTGGTAAATCCATTCTTAAATTTAGAGACAAAATAGTTAGTCATGAGCCCTAATTACATCCAAACACATCTATGTCTCCACTGTTCACAACTGATAGAGTTGTGCCAAAATCCCTTCCTGCACCCCAGGGGAGCAAACAAAATACAAATACAAACTTTGGCCTTAGAGTTCAAAGAAATTGAAAAAATATGTTTTACTTCATGTTCATGGAGATGCATATTTGCTTAAAATGTGTAAACTTTAACTTTCTCACACTCTCCAAGACCAGTTTCTCTGTTTGTTTTTCAGCACCTTCAACTGGGTGATTGGAAACGTTGACCCCATGGACTACATGCCCCCGTTTTTCTGTCCTAAAAGCTTTTCGGACGAGACAGAGGCACCAAGCAATTTTTTTTAGCATTCTGAACACATTTGGTCAAGATGTGAAGAATGTAATCCAGGATTAGCAAGTGCTATTTGAAAACCAAATCATGATTGCACTGTTCTGTGGTCATTTAATAAATGATTGAAAGCTGCTTGAGGTGGTCTCGATCAATCATTGTCAATAACTGTTGCATGCTCTCATTTATTTAATAAATTGTGATGGATAAATGGCACTACAAATCTGTCTGATAAACAAGCAATAACATGAGCGCTGTTGCATTGATATATTTGTCCAGCAGATGGCGCCAAGACTTCTGTTTTCTCCTGACACGCACCTTGATTTATGGGCTTCAATTATTTGTAAATGGCAAATCTTTATGTCATGAAAGGCTGTAAAGGGCAAATGTAAGGGTGGCCTTTTCGACACACATGACGTCATTCTACAGGCTTTTATATTTGTGGCAGAGTGGGTTCCTCCACCTCAGGCCCCGAGCTGCATTTAAAGACAGGACAGAGGCCACTGCTTTGAAAACTATAGCTTTTCAATGGAGGGTCCGCCAGAACGGTTTTCATAATATGCCATTTGGGAAGGAACCATGTTCTTCAATGTAAACACAGCCATGGAAGAAAAATGTTCAGTTAAACTTATTATTGTGGATAATGTCAACATCTGAATTTGAATCTGCTTCATAAGTGTAAGTATTCTTTATATGTATGGCGCCTTTCACAGATCAGAGTCACAAAGTGCTTTACAATTGTTGTGGGCATTTATCCCAAACTCTACACAGAGATGGATGGGAGTACATGCCCGGAGCACCCAGAGGAAACCTACACATACCCAAGGGGGACATGCAAACTCCACATAGATAGGCCTGGGTTTAACTATCTACTGTTTTTTTTTTTTAACCGGACAAGACTTCAGGACTACAGACCTATGCACACTTTATGCATTGCCTTTCCACAGACAATACTTTTGTTTTAAACACAGAGAACAGCTCTGACCGTGATGTCATATGGAACAATGACATCATAATGTTGACATTTTTAGACAGAAGGGGCAGCGTTACATGTTTGTACCAGTTCCTCATATTAGTGTGAATGGATCTAAAAACATGCCCGGGTCTATTTATGATGAGAGAACAATGTTGTAAATTGTTGATTGATTTTTGTTGTTGTTGTTGAGAAATTGATTGTGAAATACTAATCCCTTCCTTTGTTTCGAAGATGAGCCTCTGTTCTCCAAATAATTGATGATTACTTTGCGGGTTTTGAGGTGACTGGTCAACCTGATTTGGTGCCGAAAGAGGCGAGGGCAGTGGGGGCAGGAAATGTGGCAGTAGTTGAGGCAAGGCACTGCTTCTTTGTTTGGCGTTTTTGCTCAGCCGTTTCGATTCGCTTTTCTTCATAATCGTACGCTCCTTGTTTTATTTGTGACCTCCAATGTGCGCGGTTGGTGCACACTGTCTCCCAGGTGTCCGGATTGATGCCACATTTTTTCAGAGCAACTTAATAAGAAATTGTGGACTACTGTAATCAATGATGGAAAAACATAGTAAGTAACTAAGGAAGTCATCTTTATCTACAGAGCACCTTTCACAGACCAGAGTCGCAAACGCCTTGTCTCTCACTCCACACAGAGATGGGAGCGGGGTCGCCGTATACAGAAGGCGCATGCCAGACCTATTGAACTTTTTTTTAGTGGTAGGTAGAAACCGGAGCACCAGGAGGAAATCTACGCAGACACAGGGAGAAAATGCAAACTCCACACAGAAATGCCCGGAGGAGAAATCGATTCCAGGATCTTCTTGCTGTGAGGCACAAGCACTAACCACAGATAGATAACATAGAATCAACTATGTCAGACAAATGTACGGAAACTATTGCAGGAAGCAAAGTCGCTGTATGGAAAGTTTTCTGGATTTAGGAGCTTCTGTAGCAACTACTTTGGCACCTAAAGGGTCAATAATAAAAAAAGGATGTTAAGCACATTCCATCAGAGAAGTATCAGTGTTCTTTTAAACATCAGCTTTAGAAAATGAATTCAAGCAAGAGTGACTGTTCTCATTTTGAACTGTGCCGTTTAATGTTATGCTGTTATTCTCTGGACACAGTTTTGTGAGAGCGCAGACTTTGATAAATACTTCACAGATGTCATTAGATCCACTTCTCACTTTATCGCACTGAGGATTCATCTTTGTTAATGGCTGAGTGTTGTACGTGATTAGAAGACAAGGTCGTCACAGGCGTGTTACTTCGTCCAATTATCATTGTGTCGGCCAGCAGGGACCAGAGTGTCAGGAAGAGGAGCTCCAATCCCCAGAGGAACGCCTTATTTAAATTCATATCTTTCACCTGATATCGCCAGGCTTTGTGCTGATGCCCCATTTCAGTGTGTGACGGCAGTGAGAAACAGTGTCAGTGGAAAGTCAGGGCAATTTCCTCCTCTGTTGCTTTGAGTGTTCACAAGAGTGACATAAACGGGACGTAAAACAAAGCTTTGGTACAGCCGGCGGTACTGTCAGTGAATAATTTAAAATGTACATTTTTTAATATTAGGAGTCATTTTACGGGGATTTTTAAGATGGAAAAAGGCATCACATGATTTACCTGGTGGCTGGTCACATAAATTCTAGATGAGGTTGAGTCTTTTCGTACGATTGTTAAATAATTGATTGATCTACAATGATTCCTGTTTAACCACAAAGGAAAAGAAGTCGTTAGCCACATATAGCTAGAACAAGACAATTCCATCCATCCATCCATCTCTGGGTCGGGGGGGTGGCCAGAGATGCCACCCAGTACAGCACCAGCCCCTCACTGATCCTCCTGCAGGTGGTGAGTCCATAGGAGCTGAGATCTTTCAGTAGGAGCTTCAGGCAAAGTAGGGTTAAGTGTCTTGCCCAAGGACACAACGACAGCAGTCATCAGTGGGAGTCGTGAAGTAGGTCTTACGGTGGGCTCAAACCCACAACCTTCAGGCTCAAAGGCCAATGCTCTACCAACTGAGCTACTGTCGCCCCAATAGAATCCAGAGTAATGTAATTTTTTTCCACAGCTAAAACCACATCCTCCAGATTTAACAACCCAATGAAAAAAATTCAATCCAAAAGTGAAGATTATCAAACTCGCTGAGATTACGCCACATGTGTGCATGCGCGGGAGGCTGGATTCACACCTGTCAATCCCAACAGACTGTGGGCCAAAAGTGTCTGATGAATACAAATACAAATATATAATTATACACAATAATCTAATAATGATATCAAAATGAATTATCAAATTAACAAATAGCCCATATGGACGCAGCCTTCTTCGGCCATTTAAACTTCTTGAAGTTTTCTTACCGTCATGTGTTTTTTACAGCTTATTTTAGCAACAGTAAATGTTGATCTTTGTTCTTTTTTATAATAATAATCGAAAATCAGTTCTGGGGCCACAACAAAGGGTCTCACGGGCCACATTTTGCCCCTGGGCCTTGTGTTCGACAGCTGCGCCTTGAATCGTCAATACTTGATCACTATTCAACATGGTGTTTGCAGTCTCCCGGTGAAGTCACAGAGATACAGCATTTGATCTCAAGAAAAACCTGACACAGTTTTCCTCAAATGCATCTTTACAACTGTGGTCTGCTTGATACTTTTATCCGCATGGCTTTATTTCCTATATGCTCAATTTTACGGGACATCAACCGTGGCCCTTGATTGGTTTCTCCCGTAAAGGCAACTTAATACATATATGCATTGCCCACTTCCTTATGCATTCTGTAGGCTGTTGGTGCCACGAGGGGGAAACTGGCAGGTAATTGTATTCACAAAGGCCTTGGTTGCTCTTTGTTCTTTGTGGAACACATTATAAAACCAAAGAAGTGTGAAGAAGGCCCGATGTTATAATTTAACACCTCTGTTCAAAAATAATGAGCGTGTCTTTGAGCTGTTTAAATTTGAATGCCAACACCCAAAGTGAATTTAATTTCTGAGCATGACCAATTATACTGCATTTAAACCAAACGCTCAAGGATGGTGTGAAAAGATGTCTTTGCTCAATGTTTGCCAAGTTCAACCATTTTACATCTACCAATTAAAGCAGTTCAAAAGTTAATTTGTGTTAATTATGGCCACAAATTAGTTCATGTGGCAAACCGTGATGCAGTCCACAGTTAGGCGCCAGAGCTTTTCAGAAATTGGATACGGAACAATCAAAAGATGGAGAAAACGGAAAGAAAAGTAAATAAAATAGAAATAGGTGAGACTCTCAAAGACACTTCACGAGGCAATATTCTGTCAGTGATGATAAGCTACTGCTGTAGCCACAGCTGCCTTGGGACAGACTGACAAAACCAAGGTAAACCACCATGTGCCATCAGGCGCATCCAACGATGACCAATCGTTCATGCACTCATACTAGGCACTCTGGTTAAAGTGTCTTGCTTGAGGACACATTGATAGTTTGGCACTTTACAATCCCAGTTTACAACATTAAGTACAGTGTTCCCAGTGGTCTCCCATCACAGCATTAACCAGGCTATGTCCTGCTCAGCTACTGAGGTCTGAGAGATCTAGCTTACAGTCTGCTCTTCACATGCATGGTCAGTTATTGGTCAAAAACAACAAACATATTAACCGATGTGACTCACAGACCCTCCTCTGTAACAAGAAAAAAAAGGATCCAACCGTGGACCATTCACCACATCGCCACGGAGGGAGACAAGGGACAAGTGCTGCCAATTAGCTGTGGCTATAAGCTCTATGATGCATGCATCAGATTACTGCGTGACAGTTTTCTGTATCTGTCCCTTCTCAAACAAAACAAATAATAATAATAATGGAGAAAAGCAGGAGGCGGAGAAATTTGGAACACAAACTTGTTCTTACCTCAGTCAAATCAATCCTAAATTTGAAATAAAAGGGTCATACATTTCAAAGCATCTATAAAAGATGTATATAAGTTAGGGGTGTGGGGGTAGTGAATGAATAATGTATGTCACTCAATGAAAGGATACAGTAAAATCAGACACTGCACTGCGCCTATAGGTCT